TCGATTTTTCCTCTTTACATACGGTAATGACACTTAAGGGTCGTTTAAAGAATCACGCAGCAGTTGTTCCTTACATATCTATAGGATTTCGAGGAATTTTTTGTTATATATGATGGACACTTATTAAGCCTACGTGATTTAGTCAAGCTATAAATTGGGACACGATTGAGCTTAGTGTATACTTTAACTATAGACCATGCTTCTTCAACAGAAGAGTTAATACTGTCAAGCAGCCTGTCAAAACCCACAATGATTAATGGTCAAAATGTTCCCACGTTATTGATTTGAGTGAGGTTGATACTGATCGTAAATACTGTACCGAGCTCTAAACCTGAAACACGAGACTTCAAAACATCTACATGATAACGGTAGGAGAACATGTAGACAGGCAATATCCTTGGTTTCATGAATACTCACAAAGTCAATCAAAGTAGCCACATAATCTGAATCAAAACGAGTTTCAGTCAATGCCGTACTACAACTTACTCTATCAGAGTCATGGAGGGGGGTTCAGTGTCGAATGTTCAGTCGGATTCTACTGAAGGTGGTCCCTTTTGACTGAAAACGTTTTAAACCAGACATCGTTCACATTCGCTCTATACCATAATGAAACTGAATGTACCTTACCTATGATTTACCACCGGATGGTCGATAAAAGTGATAATGTTCAAAGAAGAGAAAAATGTAAACTTCACTGTTATTGCAAACCTCAGCGACACAGAGTTTGTATTTCTATGTGTCCCTTTTATCAAATGCTCCTGAACGGCAAGAAATCCTGGCGCAGCAATAGAAAGTGCCGAGGTAGACCATGAGGTGACTGCGACGTAAGATCATGTAAATCAGATTCTCACATCACGATCAGTCAAATATGTCGGTTAGGTTCCAAGCCTTACAGGATCTGGTGAAAGAAGCTGCGATGGAGGACAACGAGAAAGGGATCAAAGAGGCACCAACTTCAACGTGTTAGAAGATACTGCGGCTCAAGAAGCATCATCATAAAGAATGGATCTCCAACGAAATCCTAGGCGAGATTCAACAAAGGAAGAACAAGAAGAAAGCAATCAACAGAAGTCAAACAAAAACAGAGAAAGTGGAAGCACAAGCTGAATACGCAGAAGCAAACAAGCAAGTGAAGTGGAGAGTTAGGGCTGATAAGCGGAAATACATGGAAGGCCTAGAAACGACAGTAGAAAAGCTTCCAGAGAAGGAAATATGAAAGATCTATATGATACTATAAAGACCATAACATTGACGTACCATTTTGTGCTTGATGATAGTGTTCACCGATAAATTTCGGAGGTATTGGTGATGCCTCGGGGTTAAGTCACTTATTGCACATATCTTTTGGGTGGTACGCCACGAGGGTGCTGTAAAAGAGATGGAAAGGGGAAGGGCGAGAAGTGGGACGAACAGTGTTTATGTCTAGGTAAGTTTAGTCATATGGAATAGAATAATTAAGGTAATACCACTAAGTCTCGTTTCTTCTTATTGGACTAATTTTTCAGCAAGTATACTTAATCAGGTTAAAGATAACAAGCCAAATTATGGTGTTTAATGAGCAAATGATTGTATAAATGGAGGTGGTCCGAAAAAGCTGAAAGTTAAGAATTGTGTCCGGATGCCAACTGGCCATATTTCGTCAAAACTGCTATAAATTCTTTTTATTATTTCAACTTTTGTGGAGTCATTGGTGGACTCTTATTTAGCGAACTTTTACAGTTTTGTTTGTAAAAGAATTTGTCAGTAGAAATGGAAACCAATTCACGGATACAAACACAAGTCAAAGAGGTATTTGGTGTAAGGAATTATCATCGATATCGTTGGTTCGTGACATCACACTAGACCGAAATGAGCCGTAATTTAACAACCACCACGAAGAAGCTGGCAGGGAAACAGTAAATCAGAGTGGCCAGTCAAGGACTAAAAAGGCAAGGCAATCTTCGAAATCCAATAACAGAAGAACAGAGGGGTAGAACACTCTGAGGAACTCTTGAATAGACCAGTTACATCGAATCCACCAGAGATCTAAGCAGCGCCTACAGAAAGTTTTGTAGATGTCACTCCACCAACGGCCGAAGAAATTAGGATGGTTGTCAGACAAATCAAGAGCAGGAACGCAGTTGGACCCTACAACATACCAGCTGAAGCACCGAAGTCAGACAGAAGTAACTGCGAACATGCCCCACATTCTATTTAGGTAGATTTGTGAGGAAGAGCGAGTTTTTACAGACTGAAAGAAGCACACCACATTGGGCTGCCTGATTTAGTATCTGGGCTACCTCTTCCTACATACTGCACCAATCGTTTGAGAGGATAGCCTTAGAAAATTCGTAATCGAATGTCAAATCGTTCGTAGCTTGAGATCGATTTCTGGAATCAAGCAGTGAATTACTGAAACTCCTTATCGTGACATTTAGTGTAAGCACCTCGTGTTGATAAACTTAAAGCGAGAGTGGATTTTCGCAGAAATATATGGGTCACTGAACCTCATCCTTATATGCGAAAAACATTCGTGCCAATGATGAGATAGTGAAATGAACTAGTGAATGTTTCTAATCTTTAATGAATGTGGAGAGCCTCCTAATTTGTTGTGGATGGAGATATCATGAGATGGTCAGGATCTTCCGTTTTACTCGTCTCTGAATTAAAAGGCCTGGTATAACATTTGACAGGATGTAGCACAGCACATAATTTTAATCTGTCCAAACAAAGTATCGAAGGGTTAGGCAATCTTGGTGATTCATCGTGACGAAGAGTGGGATTCAAGGGGCACTACGAAGTATAAACTACTTTTCTACTTTTAAAGCGCAGTCAAGTTTTGGAGGCTCATGTGTAAAGTGACTTAAGTGACTATCTTGAAGTCCTTCAAGACGAATCTTGATGTATTCTTAGGAATTCAAAATATAATTCCATAATCCAGCCTTCATCTACTTCCGTGGGGGGTTTATAATAACTCATGAAAAAGGCCGCTACTTTGATAAAAAGATACAGGGATTGGGATTAACTTCTGTAGATAAACATTTTCCTAGTCGGATCGCAAGAGAGTATATGTTGAATCACAATTGTCCAGCTGCATAATAATGTTTGGTGGAGTGCCACAGGGTATAATGTACTACCGAGTTCACCCCGTGAACGATGATAAGGATAAATAGGCCACGAAATGCAAATTCCTTACTGCATCAGGTATTCATGCTTAGGCTAAACCCCATTGTTTATAAAAGCTACATAAGAAATAAGTTGAAAGGTGTGATGGATAGAGATACAACACATGCTTTCACCAAAACGCTCAGGGTCACAAGCGAATAACTGTAAGGACAAATATATGTCCATATGATGACTCGAGAAGATTGATTTCTCTGTCCGAAAGTGGATTTAAACACACGGACGTCATAATAGAAAAGCCGCTACAATAATTCCTTGATCAGTGCAATTTCTCCTGGGTATAAAATCCTTTCTACTAACATCGTCGGTCTATTTATATGTTGACGATATCTAAACATCGAGGGCCATAAAAGAAAGAATGGATTTTTAGAGTTTCCGAATACCTACGGAAATTGTCTGGGTTATTCAGGATTTGTTAATTGCCGATACATGCTTGCAAATGCATAATGATGCATATTTGTCAACATGGCACAAATACATACACAGTGCATGATATTGAAATACCCCATTATCAAGACAAGTTGATTTATAAGTTGTCATCAATCAAGACTTGACTAGCACTCCCATGCAATGGCTTCCGGAAGTTTTAGAGTCATCTGGTCCATACATACTACCTCTAGTCTTTAAACCTTCATGACTTCGCATGCAATGCCTATTTAACATAAGCTTGAGTACCTCGTACAAGTGGTCAGCTTTTGCCTGAATAAGGCTGATCAGTTGGAAGATATTCGAAGAACCTCAGCTAAGTTGATTCCAGGAATAACAATGCGACTGTATGACGAATGACTAAAGTAAACCTATTCCCCCTGTTACATAGGATTAGAGGCAACTTAGTCACAATCTATAAGCTACTTAATGATGATTTCACATCCGGAATACCCTCGTTTTCCTTATATTTCAAAACTCAACATTTCCAAGGACAACTCATAAATGTTCACAAGCCCAGAACCACTTACTCGTCAAATAACTTCAGACTTTTACATCGAATCATTAACTTGTAGGATTCTCTAATTTAACATGTGGTTGAATCTTTTTGTCAAGACTTTCAAAATGAACTTAGATCAACTGAGATACTTCCATCATCAGAGCTAACACTTTGTATACAGTGTTCGTTCGTCCTAAACTTGAGTACTGCATACAAGCGGCTAGCCCCTGCTTTAAAAAAGACAGTGAGCTTCTGGAGAAGGTTCAGAGAACGGCGACCAAGCTGGTTCCCGGAATAGCGAAGCTTCCGTATGAATCTCGACTGGCCAATCTGAACCTTTTCCCGTTGTCATATCGCAGAACTAGAGGCGACTTGATTACAGTCTACAAATTGCTTAGTGATAAATTTGCACCTAACATGCCCTCATTTTTCTTGTCTTCCAAAACAGAGAATTTACGAGGACACTCCAAAAAAGTTCACAAGCCGAGAACAAATTACTTGTCAGCTGACTGTCGACTTTCCCATCGAATCATCAAAGAGTGGAATTCATTACCTCAGCACGTGGTTGAGGCTCCGTCCGTCGACTCTTTCAAAAGGAAGTTGGACCAACTGAGATACCACCATTGCCAGGACTAACATAGGCCATCGAGCCTCCTGTCCTTCCCAAACTGAAACTGAAACTGAAACTAACACAAGTCATCCAGCCTTCTGTCTCTTTCAAACTGAGACAGAATAATTTGCCAGAATATCATTCATTTCTTTACGTTTCGTGTACTCAGGTCATTACTTAGAGCCATCTTCAATTGATTGTAACTAGATACGGAGGCTGGCTGGGCGAAAAACTCTTCTGTTCTTTTCTTAACTTTTTGAGCCGCATGAATCGTTTACATGAATCAAATTCCTTGGTCGCGCTGTGAGTGTTTGCATAATGCGCGTAATAGGAAGTCAAAGTCTTGGTTAGCATTGCCCATCGTCAGGTTTCTTTTTCTTATGCAAACTTTCTGTTAAGTAATCCCCACAAACCTAGTGTGTAAACTTGTGTATTTCTGGTGTTTCATGGATGGTTTTATGAAAGAGAGCCTATTAAAATGGATTTCATTAATAACTGAGAGGAATGTTAACCTCATAGATGGCGAAATCCTCAACAATCTAATAGACCTTTCGTAAGTTAGCAGTTTGATGTATGACAATAATTAGAGGTGCTTTTCCAGCAGTTACTACCTCAGAATGTTTCAAGGATCGGATTGGTTCATTTTTGGATGGTAAGCGATTAAGTCATTACGTTCATTATATTCAGCAACTTTTCATCCTGGAGTTTCTAATTTATTTGACATCGAAGGGGTGATTTCTGGAAAGGCTAACGATGTGGAATTGTTCGGGGTAAGTTGTCTTTTCAGTTTCCATCAGTTATTGTAGCTGTTTCATCAGCCTTATAGCTAGTAGGAAGTGGTTACTTTAAGTACACACTTGATATATCTTAATGCCTGCATATTTTCCTAGCATTCTACAGTTTAGTGGGGTTTTTTGCTGCTTTATTGAAGTCAACGAAAAAATAGTATCAGGAATGTTTTATTCTAAGCTTAAGTTTAAAAATGGATACTTGGTGTAGTTTCCTTTTTTCTCCATTGGTTATCCAATTCCCAGGGGTGAAAATATGGACCAATAAAGCTGTACTGGAGATTCCGGATAGCCTTGGGAGTATCCACTGTCGTATCTGTTGCCACTTTCTCAGGTAGGATGTCCAAGTCGTCAATCACTCAACAGGAGCATTCTCGTCTTTTGTCGCGTAGTAGCTGTCTAAATATAGCCCGTACTATTATTTGTGTATAAAAGTGCCCTTCTTATTTTGCACTGTAGTATATTTAGTTGAACTGAACTTACCTTATTTCTCTTCAGTTATGCCTAACCGTTTTATTGGGATGTCTTCAATGTCCCTCCAAACAGTCGTTCATGGATCCTGCTTTGGATTTGAGTTTGGATATGCAAACTGCCATATTTCATTTGATTCAAGTTCCTATGACCCAGTTATCCCTCAGTCATGAGTTCACTCGGGATCTGGTCACAAGCAGAATTCTCGATTCATCACATCTTATCCACACTGATAACTTGCCACCTCTTCATCAAACCATTACTTGTAAAATAGAAGTAAGTCCCACACTTGTACTTGGCTTCAGATAATACCTCTTCAAAGTTTTCTGATACATGTTTCTAATAAAATTACTCAGTCACTACTATACAAGCTTCAACACACACTGAAAGGTCTGTGTATCGTCCTAGTAAATAAACTAACGTGTTGGTTGGAATTATATGACAGAGACTTAACTCAGTCAGTCATTAACAACGTAGAACTTCGTACGTACGTAAATCAGTTCGAGTTGTCACACCACATTAGCACAGAGATGCAGTTGTCAACTCAAATTCCGTAGTGGTAGAGGTAGTAAGAGTATAAGCAGTAATCGAAAACATTAGGGTTTGAAGATGTTATTCAAAGAGTATAATCCAGTGAAATAAATTTGGAAAGAAAATGGTGGACATGAAGAATTCAGAAGATTAGAATTTGGGAGAACACAAAGAGTGGATGCACCTGCTCCATTGCAAACGATTTTGATCTATTTCATTCAAGGTCTCTAACCATCGGTTGCTATCATCTCGCGGTCCCCAACCAGGTAGTCTACACCTACCAACATGGCTCAGTTCACTTGTCAGTGACTTCATGGACTTGTGCCATATTTTGGTCTGGTCGCCCCTAGCTTTCTTACAACCTACTCCTACACAATAAAACATCGCACGTCCGGTATTCACAACTCTTATATAGACGATTATCTGGTTTTGTTTCATTACTGAATCGTAACTTTTAATTTGCTTATACAGGAAGAAGTCTCAGAACCATCATCTAGGCCACCATCTTCAACAGACACGTGTAACGGACAAAAAGTGATTTGTAATGACAATAGAAATTATAGTCTTTCGGTGAACACATTGGGATCTGAATTCACTCGCCCTAATTCGCCTACAGAATATGCTAATAGACATACAAACAAGCTAAAAAATGGTACTGATCACAGACCCAATAATCTTTCATTGTGTAACACTCCTGATCGAAGTCTGTGTATTGCATCCAGATTGAATTTAACCGATAATTCGGAACATAATGCGAATCATACTCATCATGCGCCTCCACCTCTAGCCTCGCCTCTCACATCCCTAAAGTTCCTCCTAGATTCTCCATCATTGACACACAAGGTAAACATACATGTCTTTTTAGTGTTCTTGTGAACTATTTTTCACCTCAACTCATGAAGTTTTCTACGGTTATTTACATTACTTGGTTTTGTATTTTGTTATTTAAAAAGGTTTAAATTTAACTGACACAGTGGTAAATTTTTTTCTACTGATTCCAAACTAAGTGGTTCCATAATATTAAAACTGCTGATGTACCACATAGAAATATACCTCCGTTTTTATGTTTCTAGTCAAACTACATTCATTGCCATTCTATTTATTGCAATTTATATAATTTTATCCGATTGGTTAGTACCGTACATTTTCGGCTAATAACCACTAATTTTGAACTTGACGATGGTCGTAGGTAATTGGACTAAGCTTGGTTTCCCGATGTTACCCGAATCATTACAATTTAAACCATCATGCTGGTTTGAACCCCTAAAAACTCCAGTTTGGGTAACTTAAGTATACATGGACTTCATGCACAACTGTGACTCAAAACTGAGTACATTAATATGCATTTAAAAATTAAGTTAAATCAGTGCTTTCGTTATTTTAAACGAAAATTCAGTCTTTTGACTCTGCGGTAGTATGAAATTGTATATGACACTAACTGCTTGGTCATACGTAAACTCGGCGGTACTATTTACCGCGTTTTTGATGCAGTTTTCAAAACCATGGTTGATTAAGAGGTTATCTCTATAAGCCGCAATTATTGTCCAAGCTTCTCTGCATCTTTTCTGGATGTTTCGTGCAGATCGTAGTGCTTCCTACTGATGAGGTTCACCCTGGGCACTCAAATCAAATTATACAAATCTACTCTTAGTTAACAACTCAAACCTTTACTTACACATTGTATAGTTATTAAACGATTTTGCTCAAACTATGCTATCTAACCAAAACTAATATGAAGAGAGAGAGAAATAGGCACTGCAGTAAGGTCCTAGATTTCATGGGCGACTATGAGGTGTACTTCTCACTCTGCATGTCATAGTCCTGTTTTTTTGTCAAAATATCCATTCCATGCTTTTCTAGTTGTAAGACTTATGAGACCTGTTTTGGCCTATTTTGCAGACACAATTTCGGGAATCAGAACGTGAAAAGCGTCGTTTAGCAGTGGAACTTGAAAAGGAACGAATTTGTAGAGATGAAGCGGAGAGTTTAGTTTCTGGATTACGAAAACAGCTTGAAGAAGCCACTGTTCGAGCAACTGAATCAGAATCACGGGCTCTCCGTTTATCTCGTGAACTAACAGCCCTTCATGATCAGGGAGATGAATTAGCACACTGTCGTAATGAATTGGCTTTGCGAGAGGAAGAAATTAAGAAGTAAGTTGTCCTAATCATTATTTCTTGCACACCGACTTCGGTGGCTTGGACATGTTCTACGAATGTCGTCCCAGAGAATTCCACGTCGTGCATTATTTCCCGACTCTGGGACTGGTTGGAAGAAGCGGAGAGGTGGTCAGTGCATGACATGGTGTCGTGGTATGAAAGAAAGCTGCAAAGGACTGGCTTCTGTCGGTCCTTCACGGCTCCCTGGTTGGGGTCCGAGAGATGGTGCAACACAGTGGCTAGAGACGTTATCAGATATGGCTCAGAATAGAAGCCAGTGGCGATCCTGCTGTAACCTTTTACTTTCTTCATAAAAAGTGGTTGTGTCTCCCTTACCTGAAAGATTTCTTCTGATTGTACCTTTCCGTTCCCTCATTTCTACCATACTACCTTACACCAATCTCTTCGTTATTTTTCTCTTTTTCTTTTTGCGCTCCTTAGTTTTTTTTCTATTTCTCTTCGAATTCTCATTGTTTTGTGTGGCGCATATATATTGGCGCTCTCTTGTACCAATATTCATGTGTTCAAATAAATGAATAAATAATTCTTGCACAACAGATGACTGGGCTGTGGATCTCCTGATCCATCCTCTCTCCTCCAAACACTTGAATGCCGCCACACCTGCAGACCAACAGCTGTTTTTTATGTCAGGATCCGCTTCGATTTGTTGGGCAAAGCCGTATTTGATAATTTTCTGTTGAATAATTCTGCACTTGAAAAGTTTAGTAAGGCTCTGTACACAAACACCTCAGAATAATGTCACAGAATTATCTCTAGTCCAAACGTAGTGGTAGACAGGGTTGTGCACTTTCTCCATTCCTCCTTGATTTTGCTGTCAACAATATTTTGCAAGCAGCTTTGAAGGAAGTACGTGTTGATTATGTGAATCTGTTACCTGAAGAAAAGACTCATTGAATATGCAGATGACATGGCCGTACCAGACGATGCTATTTAAACCCCCCATTTTACCGTTTCGTTTTATAAATGAATAAATAAAGTATTCGTTAAAGTTAAATTTTCACATACCAATCTTTTTTCGTAACTTCTTTTTTTGACTCAGTTTGAAACTACGCGTTATGGGCTTTCAAGACTTAATGGCTCATACACGAAAGTTGGAAATGGAAAAAATTGATTTACAGCAAGAATGTGAAGATCTTCGTCTGAAAGTAAGCAGTTTATTACATGTACCTTTATTCATTCTATATGAAGGTATTCAAGTGTAGGCTGGTCTTTTTTTTGCTTAGACATCATTGCGGTTTGACTCAGTCATTTTATCTATTTATTAAAACACGTTAACATTGGCACAAGGAAGCACCAAATATATATGCGTCATACAATAATAACGAGGTTGTAAAGAGATAGAGAACGTAAAGTGCGTATAACAAAAGAACAACGACGAACAGGAGTTGGTGTATGAGGGTGAAGTAATAATAATGATAATAATAACAATAATAATAATAATAGGAAAAAAGTCCAGTTAAGAGAAATACAACCGAAAAGAATTCTTTTGGTTGAAGAAGTTACGTTCATTTTTTTATGGAGAACGTAAAATAAAGTTACATTAGGATCGCTACTGGCTTCCGTTCTGAGTCATGTCTGGTAACTTCTCTTGCCAGTGTTGCACCATCTCTAGGACCCCAACCAAGGAGTTGTGAAGGACCAACAGAAGCCTGTCCTGTACAACTTTCTTCCATACCACGACACTGTCATACACTGACTACTTCTCTGCTCCAGAGATGTCCCTGATTGGCAGAAGCTACTCTGGCTTTCACCACACATAAATTGATCTAGTCGTTCTCGCTACCATCAGCACTTGTGCAGCTACCCAGATATACGAACTTCTCAACTACTTTTATCCGCTCACTACTCAGGTTGAGTTCAGGTTCAGGGTCTTGTCAATCTTGTAAAAGTACCTCGCATTTGGAAGGTACAAAGCAAATACCGTACTTACGGACACTAATTGCCAACTGATTAAGTGCGTATTACATGGCTTAGGTGTTATTCCACAGTAAGACAATATCATTCGCATACTCAAGATCGAGAAGTCTTTCTCCAGACAACAGATCCACACATCCATCAGAGCTGTTTCCAGAACATCGTCGATGGAGAAATTGAAGAGGAATGGTGAGATTGGGCAACCCTGTCTCACCTCACTGCTTGAATGGGACAATGCAGAGAATTTATTGTATACCCTCACTCTGCCTAAGGTGTTTGTATATAGGGCTTTCAAGGTGTTAATGAACTTTTTAGGCATACCCCTCTTCAATAGACAATCCCCAAAAACAGTCCTGTCCAGCGAATCGAAGGCGACCGTAATGTCAAGAAACACTACGATTGTTAGCTTTTGATAAGTATGACGGTGTTCTAACATTCTTGACAAGAACAAAACCTAGACTGCTCATCACAAGTCAATATTCCTCGGGTTTTGAACAATCTATGAAGGATGACTGAAGCCAATAGTTTGGACGCAATAGAAAGTAGACTTACCCCTCGATAGTTGTTACAGAAACGACGTGAACCCTTTTTAAAGATAGGTACAACTATCGACTCATTCCATTATGTTGGAACACTCTAATTGCCAGACGTTTGTAAACAGCTCAGTCATTTCCTTAACCGGAAAGTCACCACCATCTTTAAAAAGGGCCAGAGGTAAGTCATCTTGGCCTTGTGATTTGTAGCGCTTCAATGGTTGGAGTTCCTTGCGGAATTCCGCCTTGTTAGGTGGATCAGTAAACGTGAGAAGTGTAGAGTTGATGGGTTGGGGCTTACACTGGATTTTAGAACACATGCTTCATCCTATTTGGGACCCATCAGGTGGATGCACCTACATCATCCGTGTTGATGTTTTCGTTGGGAATCGAACACAGTTTCCGCTTCAAACGTCAATGCCTTTTACATCGAGCTACTGAGTCAAGTAGTTATTGACTTATTCAACTGGTTTCATATTCATATTGATATGTGATTCAAAAAGAGCAAATCCGTTTCGCCTGGCCATCAATATTTGATGTATATACCAGTAAAATTGTTGAACTAAAAAAATATCTTATCATTACTTTTTCTACAGATCATCAGCTCAAAGAGATAATGTGTGTCGATTTTGTGTGGTGAGAGTTTCTACTAGTTAAATAAGTCAAAGTAAATTAGTGATAGTTCCAGATCACATCAAACTGGTTTCTGTCTACTATTCAAAAGGTAAAAGATCGTCTCTAAGATGTAGTTTTATCTGTTGGAAGAAATGTATAGGGTTATGCAAGGAGGTGTGTAAAATCCATTATAGGCCAGCTATATTACGAAAACTTGGTAGCCATGAATATGTTCGATATTGGGATTTCATTTCCACTAATATCAGTGTTTAAAATCTTCGCACCCAATAGAGTATAATAATTTTATGGTTCAGCCGTAAGCACATTCTCCTTTGAGTTTAAAATTTCAATCTTCGGAATGAGTATGTTGAGATTTGTTGTATTATACCTTGAATTTGAGGTATATTAATTATTTATTGGACTATTGTTTAGTTCTACTCCTCACCTATACTTCGGTTTTAGAAAGTCACTGTAGTATTACTGACTTATGTACAATATCTACGGCTCAAAGCGCCGTACCTATAAACTTATACTTAATTACTTCGTTGTATCGCGTTTAAAGTAAGTCAATTAAAATAGTTTTCTTATAATTACTTCCAAACATCATACGATCCATGGCATATGTTGGAAAGAAAGGTTATATACTTTGTACACTACATATTTGTGTTCACTTTTTTTTATTTACGAAATCTTATAAAACTTAGTTTTTTTTTTGTTATAGTATAAAATAACAAAAACGTTTTAAACTTTATTATCGATAGGTAGATCAACAGCTTTCTCAATTAAGAGAGTTCAAGGAAAGACGTATTAAATGTAGTGAAATTGAAGAACTCAAGTCAAAATTACGTGATGTTGAAGCTCAAGTAAGATTCATATCTAAGAAAATATTTTTGAATAACTAGAGTAACCTATTGTGTCATTGAATGAAGGATTAATGTAATTCAGCGAAGACAATTTTCTTTTCAACGATACCATTTACTGAAGATGTTCAATCATATAGTGATTTATTAAAAACGAGTCTTTGGAAATATAAGTGTGCTTATTAACATACAAAACCATTCTCTATCACACAGTACTCCTATTTACGGCTAGCACAAACGAATATGAATTATAAGTGAACCTGTTACTTGATATTATGCGAGCCTTAAACTATGGTTTATTTGATAACATGAATTATTAAACTGGAAATCGTGTTTTTGTGCGTTAAAATCACCATAGAACAAATGGATAGAATTTTATGGCATGTATCAGTTAGCAGTGGACTAATTTTACTCTAGGCCGATCTATGAGTCTCCAAATGCCCTGGTACGGCCGAGAGTGGGGAGAGTCCGCTCGCCCTCTCGAAATGTTCCCACATGGCCACGCGTATATAGCCTCTGCCAGGCAAGTCCTACTCACTGCCTTCTCGTGGCGGGGGTGTTGTTTACAAAAATGAGAGGACGAAAAGCGAATGTCCGGCGCTTTAACCGGATTCTAAACCAATGGTGCACATGGGCTCCAGTATCCTGCGGTAACAAGTGGCGTATGAACCAATTGTTGGTCACCGGCTACCATGGGACTGCATCTCAATACCATGCCCCACTGCCTTGAAAATCAGACCTTCAGGTCGAAGGCTCGGGGTGTGGCCCCCTAAGAAAACCACGTGCTTCGGTTTGGGTACCCGTGCAGTATCACAGCCCTCATACATATCGAATGAGTTTTGTGTGGCGCATATGTATTCGGTGCCTCCTTGTACCATTATCTATGTGTTGAAATAAAATAAATAAATATTTATTTTCTCAAAGCAGCGGCTCAGTAGTTGAGACGTTTGACTTCCAGCCACTAAGCTGCAGGTTCTGATCCCACTCCGACTACTTCGGTCCGGACAGCGATATAGTATTCATAATCTTTACACTTCGAATAAGGCTCAAAGCCAAGTACACAAATTTACACTTCTGGTGGCTACTGACAAGAAGGATTGTGATTTTTTCTATAATCGCTACATTTATTCAAGCACACAGCTAATTCGATATTCACTTGTAAGCTGGAGGGTGTTTGACATATGTTTCGTATTAGTTGATACCCATCAATATGGCATATCTCCAATCTATTTTGTAGTATAATCCCATTAGGTGTTGGCTCGAATGCTACCATATCATCCATGCTCTCTATCGAAGTTCTTGTTATCATTGTTATTCATATTGTATTCTAACAGTTATTTTCTATTCATAGTATGTCTTATGAAACGTTTTCGATTGTAATTTTTAAGTTGTTGCAACAGCTACGTGAACGTGAAATGATCGAAAAGGATATAAGACAACAACATGAAATGTCAACACAGCTTAAACTGCAATATTCCATAAAAAATCTTCAACCCAATAATAAATCATTAGATATTCATCAATCTAAGTCTAATATAGAAGAAATTGAATGTAGTGAACAAGGAAATAAAGTTGGTAAGTTGATTTGTTGATTTATCATTATTTTATTAATATACACTAGTATCATTGACTAGCTTACTTACTTACGCCTGTTACTCCTCGTGGAGAGGTGCATAGGCCTCCCACCAATACTCCATCCAACCCTGTCCTGGACAATCCTTCCCAGCGCTTTCCAGTTGTTATTCATCCTTTCCATATCTGTTTCTATTTCCCGACGTAGTTTGTTCCCCGTCATCCCACTTTTTCGTTTCCCTTCAGGATTCCAAGTCAGTGCTTGCCTCGTGATGCAGTTTGGTGATTTGCGTAATGTATGTTCTATCCATTTCCATTATCTTTCCCTAATTTTCTCTTCATCTGGAAGTTGGTTTGTTCTCTCCCGCAGTAGGCTGTTGCTGATGATATCCAGCCAATATATGCTGAGTATCTTGCGTAGACAACTATTTATAAATACTTGTAACTTCTTGACGATAGTTGTAGTAGCTCTCCGCCTGTAGCACTTCTAGAGTTACTACCGGTCCCAAGCCTGGGTAAAGGAGGAGGGTTGGGCATGGGTTATGCGGTTAGCAACTCCATCCCATAGAAAACTAACTGGCTAAAAAACACTATCATTGACTAGCACTCTACTTTAATGATTTATATTGAGGATACTGTATTTCCAAATACCTAGTACAAGAATAAAAATCAATTTTAATTTTGATTCAGTCGATTTCAACGCATTTTCTTGATTTTTATCTGTTAACTTTCACTGTGTGTCAGTTGTATTTGGTTATTTGTTTCTCAGTACATTTTCATTATAGTGATTATTTCACTGATTTTCTATTCTATAATAATTATTCAATTAATGAAACTCTAATTAATAATCATTAAATTAGCTTGGATGTAAATTGAATCTTCTTCAGTCTCGTCCAACAAAAATTGTTAACAAGATTCTTGGATTAACTGTGGGGGGGTGGACTGGAAGTAGGTTGAGTTGTTTTGTACGTTATCACAACTTTTGTTCGAGTTTTTACCGCATATCCGGTATGTGCCTTCAATTGTTGAACCTAAAAAACCTTATAATAATTCTAAATAAAGCCAGAATAAACATGCATGCAGAATAATGTGAATTCATTGTATTTCGTGGTTTGTCATCAGCTGCTTACATTAAGGTAAGATTTAGTGCCAAACAATCGACATATATGAATGAAAAGAATTGGAATGACAAAGGTTATCAATAATAACTCTCTATACGTGTGCAGGAACAGTTCGGATGTCATTTGGTACTGGAATCAAAAACCAAGGGGTGGATAATGTATTAATGAGGTTCAGAGACAGATAAAATAAACTATATGATAATTATAGAGGTAATAAAGGGTTTACACAAGATTGCTGGAGTTCAAAAAACTGATGAGTTACATAATAAATGAACAGGATTTGAAGAGTTTACATAGGTGAAGACTATTGAGTGAATTGAAATATCTAAGTGAAGGGGTGATTTTAATGTATAGAAAAATTCTGATGTCGGCATTATGCACTTGGTGGTCCCACTATTTTCAAGCAGTATTTGAAAAATTTCTGTTGTCTAATCCCTGTGTCTCATACCCGCAAAATTCTGAGAAATATTCCTATCCCTCAATAGGTAAACGGATGTGTTGTCTGCTTCACAGATGGCTCAACCAAGTTCTTGTCTATCGTTTTAGTATGTGCACAATCCTATTCCTGTGCTTCATATCAATATTACCATCAGATTTTCTAACAACAGGTTAATTTACTATGATTTTCCATGTAGACATAGTTTCCATTACAGATCATGGAGATTAGCGAAGACTAAATGTGGCTGAAAACACAATCTCGTGTAGCTGCACAAGTTTACATAGTTCATTGGAACTATCACTCAGTGGTTCCAGTGTATTTTCGTTAGTTGGATGACATTTTATTTTGTTGTGGACTTATAGTCTCAATGACCTTGTTTAGATTGTCGAATTAATGTAAATAAATAATATATGAATATAAAAACTAATGTTGAAAATTTTTATCTCATACTGTCCTTAATTTCTATCTCAGCCAGTTTGTAATTATGTTAAACAAAATGTAGATTATTCATTCACATGGTGTTATTCAACCAACTAACCGTTGATTAAAAAGATGGTTTGTTTCTGTCCAATCTGTCAGTTAAGATAAATGTCTGTAAACTATTCCCCCCCCCCCCGCCAAAAAAACCAGTTTACTATTATAAGTATATATACATAAAATATTTTTCAATCAACCAAATTCTGATCATAATTCTAAAATCGATTTCATATGAATACTATGACTGATAAAACCTATTAAATGCATCTGTACAGTCGCGAAGAAAAGTGGTATACCTAATGATAACAGATGCACACTACAGGATTCGCAAATACCAACATGTCATAGAGGACCAAAAGATGAAGCTACAAAGGACACTCACGTCAGAACATTTGGAAATCTTGACAACAGCCATCGAGATATCATGCAAACGACACAGAAAAAAGAAGAAAGACCTTAAAGAAAAAAACCAATCAAGATCTCAAAACCACCCATAGAAGAAAACACAAACAACTGCGTGATCAATCTGTCAAAACAACCAATAACAAATACGGAAGAAAACCTACTTCAAAAAGGATTAAACTACAATACAAGCGACACCTCAAAGCTGGGATTCTTCGCAGCACTAGAGTCATCACTCAAAACTTCCGGGATCAGTGAAGAAACACAACAGAAAATAAGATAAACTATTGTACCGCTAACTCAACAGGTGAAGGAAAACAACCAACTGACTCCACAAGAACAAAAGGCTTTGAAGGAACTCAGAAATAGAAAAGATATTGTCATAATACCAGCGGACAATGGACGCACCACAGGGGACTTATACACCTTCATGGAGGAGATCCAATCAAATGTGTTCATGCATAGTCACATTAAGGATTGAAAATCACTACTATCTAATAACATAAATTAAACGGTCTATTCGAGTTTTAAACAATCGAACCAGTATACATCCTGTCAGATTCTACGTTGACTATGACTGACTGTCTGACTCATCATCTGTCCCAGATAATTGTAATTGTATGTCGTAAATCTACGGCATTCATTTTATCTGATCTTATTTACTCGACTAACGAAGTCTGGTTTGTAATTCCATGATCGTACCAAGCTATATCAAGTATCACCAGGCTTCATCGAACAAATCTAGTGTACAATTTTATACTTGGTCGTGAACGGATTTATTAAGTAGATATGTTGATAATAAACATGATTCTAGTAACCTACGTATATCATTTGAAATTTGTCTAAATTATTTATATCTTATGGCTTTCTTTGTCATTTAATCGTCACGTACCGATCATTTTATTGAATGAATATATATCTTAGGAAAATTCCGATCAACACCTTTATATCATATAATCATGTCAGTTGTGAACAATTACTTAAAATAGGATGATACTCGATATCTTTTTCAACCAGTAGGTTGTAAGTTCTAATCTAGGTGCATTTACTTTCAGACAATTGAGTTGTATCGTTAACCTGTACATATAAATAGTCGAACATACAAAACTATCCTTGGTAAATGAGTTATTTAAAAGAAATAGTAACCTCATTTTTATGTGAAATTTTATGTACGTTTAACTATTTTTATTTTAATTTTAACACATAGATATTGGTACAAAGAACCACCAAATACATATGCACCACACAAATCTTATTTGATGTATGTGAGGGCTGTGATACTGTCTGAGTGCCCAAACCGAAGTAGGTGGTTTTCTTAGGGGGCCACACCTGGAGCCTTCGACCTGAATGTGTGATCCACAAGGCAGTGGAGCATCGTAAGGAGATGCAGTCCGATGGTAGCCGGTGACCAACAATTGGCTCATACGGCATTTGTTCCTTCAGGATACTGGAGCCCATGTGCACCATTGGTTTGGAATGAGGGTTTTCTAACTCCCCTAGGTGGACTCTCCATGTGTAGCAATCCGGTTAAAACGCTGGACATTCGGTTTTCGTCCTCTAGATTTTGTAAACAACACCCGTGGTGCGAGAAGGCAATGAATAGGACTTCCCTGTTGGTAATTGTATGCACGTGTCCATGTGAAAGCATTTGGAGATGGAGAGCTGACTCTCCCCACTCTCGACCGTACCAGGGCACTTGGGGGCAATATTGTTAATCGTGTTCACTGGAATCCCACCAACATTATTTCTGTTCTAATTTCTGATGCTATTCACTTATTCAGTTTATAGTTTATTTAAACCACACCGTTGTTTGCATTTTTATCCTAAAGTTGATCAGCATCCCATTTTGAATAATTCATGTCAAGATTTGTCTATTTTGAAACCTGGTGAAAATTTGGGAACAGTATTAGAGGATGATTTGAAATCTGCCCGTTTATTCATATCAAAACTACAAGTAAGCTCATTTCAATCAATGTGATTGTCCATTTATTCTTTCACAGGTTGATTTTCAATAAGTTCTGAGGACATTTCGTAGAATTGTCAATATAACATATCGTCCCATAGTCGTAAACAATATATAGCGATGAACGGGACGCTTGACCGTTGTTTCTTTAATGTGGTCTAAAGAGTTTTTTTTTAAATATTTCATATGATTAGATGTTAAGTTTTGTGTACTTCACCCTAAGAAATTAAGTAGTATCTTAGTTTGATATTTTGTTCATATGTAGAATCCAAACTACGGTTTGGATAGAAGAATAGCCGTCCGGGTACGTTAGACACGCGCCCTTTCCCGTCGAAATCAAAACACGTAATCGGGTAGATAGCGGTTCTATAATTCATCATAAATTTATAGGTAAATCGTTACCTAAACAAATATTACCACCCGGCTATTCAACCAATAATTGTTCAATCAATCAAATCTAAATTACAATAAATAAAGAAGTTGATAAAAGATGAGGGAAAATTACCAGTCACAACAGATGAACGTTATCCTATCCTGACTGGATAGAACGCACACAAAAGGAGGAGCAAATCAATATGGCTACCGCCAAGAACAAGTGTCAAGTAAAACAACACAGATGCAGTTCAGGAAGAAACACAAACTTAGTGAATACGTAAGAAAAACAAAAACTATAATAAAAAATACAAGTATTAACAATCCAAATGTAATCAAAAGACAACAGTGTACAACTAAAGGGGTCGTTAGGAACAAGTATATACATGGAGGGATTTTCACCAACACACAAAACATTCAAAATGGATCTTACACATATTCTAATAGGTTTATCCTACTACAGTTTTTAAATCGTGTTTCGTCATACCAGACAGACCTTAAATATTGGTTAACTATTGGTTCACGATATAAAACTCAGTGTTATTATACTGTTATATAATTCTCAGTAGTGTTACCTATTTGCTCAAATTCCATTAAGTCAAGTAGAGTTCAAGTTCATGATCTAATGATTAGGTTTGCTTTGTATAAAAGAACTTTTTTGTAGTAATAAAAGTCATAGTTATTCTTTTTTGCTTATGTGTTTTTTATACTGATAAAACATTTAAATAATCAACACTGACCTAGTGGTTATTTCGTTACCCAGTTTATCATGGACATTCATTTATAAGACAAAAGCGAATGTCCGCACCTGTTGTTCTCAAATACGTTACTGTCATTGAGTGTTATGTACTCTAATAGTTGACAATCTGAAATGTCAGTCACATCATTATAAACACAATGATACTTACCTTTATACAATGACCGAATTTATGTGTTTCGATTGATTACACTTTACCCCCAAATGCCCTGGTACGGCCGAGAGTGGGGAAAGTCCGCTCTCCCTCTCGAAATGCTCTCACATGGCCACGCGTAATAGCCTCTGCCAGGGAAGTCCTACTCACTGCCTTCTCGTGGCGGGGGTTATTTACAAAAATGAGAGGACGAAAAGCGAATGTCCGGCGCTTTAACCGGATCCCAAACTGATGGTGCACATGGGCTCCAGTATCCTGCGGGAACAAATGGCGTATGAACCAATCGTTGGTCACCGGCTACCATGGAACTGCATCTCCTGACGATGCTCCACTGCCTTGTGGGTCAGACCTTTAGGTCAAAGGCTCGGGGAGTGGCCCCCTAGGAAAACCACGTGCTTCGGTTTGGGCACCCGTGCAGTACCACAGCCCTCACACATATCGAATGAGATTTGTGTGGCGCATATGTATTTGGTGCCTTCTTGTACCAATATCTATGTGTTAAAATAAATAAATAATAAAATACTCTCTGGATCAAATTTGTTGATAGATTTTATTAGACTTACTAATAGTAAATAATTATTTTATAAACCAATAACAAATATCCATCATAATTTTCTAGGTGAATTTGTTATATCATGCAATGTATTTTCACACATTAGTATTCACAAGAATGTTTTCCACGTTTTCCACCGAAAACGTTATTTTTCGCTTATTGCGATTCAACACACACTCACTCTTCTTCTAAAACTTAAAGCTATTGTGTTCGCTTCTATCACATTTGTTGTAAATCATCCATCTCCGAGTTTACATGTTCCCATCAAACCAATCAATAGTTAGAGATTCTTATTATTAATATTATTATTATTATTACTATCATTACCCCTGTTACGTCATCGTATTTTCTGATTCCTATATGTTTAAAAAATTTCCTTATTATCTAAATTTCCTTTTTCTTTCAGTCACAATTCGATGAAGAACTTGGTTCAGCTAGACAACTGCTTGAGGAAAAAACTAAGCGTTTATATGAGCTTGAACAAATTATCAGTAATAGGCTATCAATAACTGAGGTAGGAATCTTGCATAACTCTGTTTAACATATAAACGAGTTTCCTTTTTTTATTTTTAAATAAAGGATATCCGCTTTTTATCTCACCTATATTCATTTTCTGACAGACTACTGATGTCTCTACTCAAACTGAAATGTCTTGTACAACAAGAACGACAACAACTAGTCCCAATGAATTATTATCGCCGGAATTATTGCCCGCCTTAACAGTTGATGCGTATAGTGCTGCGGCAGCAGCAGATCGAAGAGGTCTTTCGAACGAATTAGTTCGTTTACATGAAGAAATAGCTCAATCAAAAAGTTATGCTTGTGAATTGGAACAACGGTTAACTGAAATGGTGAGTTACTCGTTGATATCATGTGAAATGTTTTCTATCCTGGAGCGTAAGTCATTTGTAGTTGCGTAGGCTACTTACTCCATGTATTCTCACTCTTAGTCAATGATAATCTAATTGTTAAAGTAATTACTCCATTAAAAAAAGTAATTCAAACTGTGAAGTCATGATGATCATGATGTTTGTTTCACATGTCGAATCGTTGATAAGTGTAGCATGCTATTTTGGTTAAATGCTAGATACGTTTTCATCGTAAAAATTCCATTTTCTTCTCTAATAGGGGTTAGTTGTTAATTCACTGTTAGATGACGACTTAGTAGTTAAAGCATTCGGCCTTCAGAGGTTCGAACCCCGATTCATCCATCTTAGTTTAGTGATTCGGTTATTATCACTAACTTTCATACACAGTATGGATCAAAAGTCTAGTACCTTAATGTGTACTTGTTGAATGGGTTGCATTAATTTGTAAAAAATATACTGTAGATTGTTTTCCACTGTTATTATTTTTCCTAACAATCACTTAGTGCCAAAATTCCTATCATGTGACCATCAATTTTGTAATTGTTTCTTTCAGCTTGTAAAATCGATTATTTTAAGCTTATAAGACATTAGTTTACATTGATTGATTTTCTCTTTCACATTTTTTTCCTGTTTTGACTGACTATGAAATAAATACTACAGTCTACAGTCACACTCCAATTCCTTACGTTCTTTCTCGTTTTATTTGACGTTAATCAGAACAAGATTGAGTTAAGTACGATATAGATTCCCATAGAATTGGAACAGTAATGAACATTTGTATTCATACAAAAGTTTATAAATAATTTACATATTCTGAAAATAATAATAATAGAATTCACTCCAGTTTACAGGGGCATGATCAATTTGATATAAATAGTAACATTAGACGTGCAGAACAAACATGTGATAGAAGAAAGTTTTAAGTGTACTAGTTCAGTAATTGTTTAAGTAGTACATGTATTTTACAGCGATACAATGTATCAGCTGGGAACTTTTAATTTTTCCTAAATGGACACAGCCTGTTGATTTATGAACGGAGTAATTAAGGTCATTTCGTGTGCCAGATCGAATTAATGATAATAATCTACAACTAGAGAAATTAAAACGAAAACAGAGAGCATGGAACAACAAAGCAGTAATTATCAAAATATGTCAATCAAGTCTACAAAAGTGCGTATCATGTGACACAATGATATACTGTTGATGTTATTTAAATGAGTTAAACTTGCTGGGGACGGTGTTAACATAAAGTGGCAGCAAGTAGGTGGTTTTACTTAGGGAATACACTAATAAGCCCAAGTTTATTGTATCTAGAATTATAAGTTAAGGTACAATCAGCTCCAATAATATGAAGTGTAAATCGTCTCTACTGATTCCAGCCTTAATTTATCCTTTATGCGCGCACTGCTAAGAATAAACTTGCAATATTCTAGAAGTGATCGAACACAAACTTTGTACATTAAAATACGTGACTGATTGTTATAAAGGTTTCGAGTTTTGTAATGTACAAGACGTTAAGGCTTAGAGGTTAATATCTGTTCTGTAAACGACAAGTCGTGGGAGTATCTAAGTCCTAAGTCTACTACTGTATGTAACCTAGATAACACTTCTCCAAAGGACTTAAGACAATACCTTGTATTACACCACTTCTAACAGGGACAGCGTTAGACAATGAAGGGTTAATTTTAATTATTTGATGTCGATTGCTGAGAAAGGAATCAAACCAAGCTAGCAAAGGATTTTGAACCCCATAAGATGCAAGTTTACCTATAAGAAGTTGGTGGCTAACCATCTCGAAGGCTAGAATTTACACGAGTAGCTTCTATATGATTCGTCCATTCTTGTTTTCTTGCTAAAAACGAACCAATCATCATAGATTTGAGCTTTCACTGAGCATGTAATCGTCAGGATTCTTTATCCTGTTAACATTATCTTAATGACGAATGTATTATGGATTATTTTGTGAAGACAGATGAGTACCACATGGCTTGTAAGTCAATGTACAAGAAATCTGATGTTTCAGTCAGTACACGATCTATTGTTTTAATAACAAGTGGCTAACTAACCATCTAGTGTTCTATGTGGCAAAATAATTAACTTCAACACCTGATAAGGCTTGGTAAAATCTTCATTAGTATATTTAAGTGGATTTTAAACAATCCATTGTAATTGATGAAAACATCTTGATCGCTATTAGTAAAGTAAATTTCTTCGCATGTGTGATTGACAAAGATGCTGTTTACGGAAACGTACTTTGAGTAGTTTCTAATTTTAACGTCTAATCAGTCTACCACTTTATACAAAAACCAAGCCTATAACAAATCAAGTGAATATGGATTTTAGATTAGTGTAGATTTTAATAATTCATAATGGCGTAGAAATTTTAGAACTCGATTGTTTTATACCCTCATTGATTCAATATGATATAATGATTTTTAATCAACACATTTCAGATCTCGCTCTATCTACTTACTTCAGCTCCAGTAACTGATTATTCTCTTGCTCCTTAAAGTCGATTACATCAACATTTGCAGCTGTTACTTACTTGAGCTAGACCAACTTTGTAATACTTCCAGAGAGAGAGAGAGAGAATCGAGTCATTAATTTAAACCTAAATCATTTTTGTTAAGACGGTTGAAATAATATCATTCGGTTTTATTTATTTGTTTATTTAAACACATAGATATTGGTACAAGGAGGCACCAAATACATATGCGCCACACAAATTTCATTTAATATGTGTGAGGGCTGTGATACTGCCCAGGTGCCCAAACCGAAGTAGGTGGTTCTCTTAGGGGGCCACACCTGGAGCCTTCGATCTGAATGTGTGATCCACAAGGCAGTGGAGCGTCGTTGGGAGATGCAGTCCCATGGTGGTCGGTAACCAACAACAGGTTTATGTGCCATTTGTTTCCTCAGGATCCTGTAGCCCGTGTGCACCATTGGTTTGGAGTCGAAATCTTGCAACTCTCCCAAGTGGACTTTCCGTGTGTAGCAACCCGGTTAAAGCGTCGAACATTCGGTTTTCGTCCTCTGAATTTTGTAAACAGCACCGGTGGCGTGAGAAGGCAATGAGTAGGACTTCCCTGTTGGTGGTTGTATACACGTGTCCATGTGAAAGCATTTGGAGATGGAGAGTTGACTCTCCCCACTCTCAGTCGTACCAGGGCATTCGAACTCAAATTATATAAGTTTTACCTAAAATTAATTCCTTCCACTCTATTCATAATTTCGTTTATGAAAATATTCGATCAACTCAGGTCATAAATGAAACTGTTGAGATTAATTTGGAAAAAAATACTCACATTTTTACTGATACTCATAGAATTGGTGAAGTTGTAACGATTCACATAATCCAAACTGTTCACCTATTTCTTCAATAAGTTCGTTCAGTATATTTTGCTTTGTTGTTTTATGAAATAAAAATGTCATATTCAACTATTATCACTTTATGGACATATGTACACACATTATTTTGCACATCATTACATAATCTTTCAACCTTCTATGGTTGTATTTTCCAAATGAGATCATGCCAACTAGTGAATTTAATATGAAATACACTAATGTAAACACAATTTCAGACAAATTATATCATCAAATAGAAAATTTTCTTCACTGAATTTCGTTTACCTTAGAAGATAGTGACCAGACACATATATATATATATATATATATCTGTATATGTATATGAAAAGTAGGTGTATACATATCGCTTGAAGTAGTCTGGTATTAACTTTTGTCAAAGAAACAGATTTATACATTTCTGTTCATGATGAAATAACTTTGGACATAATTTCTAAATCTAAATTTTTTTGATATTTAAATACAGATTGGTTGACAGTTTGCTTCTACTACCGCGATTAGTGGCCTTGAAATCTAATCGATAAGTAATCTAGTCGTTGTTCTTATACAACAGTATATCCGGTTCCCAAAAAGTTCATAAGTATATCTTAGAATGTGCAGCAACCTGACTTAATAGTTAAAGCACTTGTCTTCCAGTCAATCAATTTGAAACCTTACTCCAGTCACTTTGGTTTAGGGAGTCGAGTAATATGACCGACCGTCATACATCGAAGCTGCTACCTTGACGCGGTGTTCGGGCTTGCCTATCGTGATGACCCAACCGAGCTATATTGGCTGGAACATATGTTCCTGCAGGTTCTACCATACCAGGCAGGTCGATTGGCGAACGGTAAGACTAAAAGCAGCAACTCAAGGTCTGAGGGCGAAGTCGTACTGCTGACTGTAGAGAGGTGTGACAGCAGTAAGGTGTTTCCCTCGGACAACCAGCATGACAGCGATGCTGCCTTCCCACAAGGAGGGGTGGGGTTAGAAAAGGTCGACCCTAAAAATGCACACCTCACCTTACCTCACGGATTTCCGTCTCCGGCGGTAAGGCCCCTTGAAGAACGGAGCTAACACGTCAAAAACCTTCCACAAAAAGGCCGTGCGCGACCGGCCTCAAGCAGTTGTCCCTTGGGCTCTGCGGTCACGCTCCCAGGTCGTCAAGACCAACACTAATCCAATTTCCTTTTCAGGTTCCTCAAGAAATACCCTTCCACGGTGTGGGCAGCCGGGAAGTGACATCAGCCCTCATACCCGTAACAGCACAAGAGACCAAGGTGGTCACATTCAAATCCTTCCTACACCTCCTAATACCTCTCTTATCCTCCCGACTAACCCTCCTCACGTCTCTTTATCACCTCGCACCGCTAGGGCAAACGATTCGAGTACGTGGAACGCCATTCCTGGTCTCCTGAAACCACGCTCTAAACTACACGTAGGAGCTTTCAACGTACGAACACTTTGTCAAATAGGACAGCAGGCTTCCTTAGCTAAAACTTTAGAATCTCGCGCCATCGATGTGTGCTGCGTCTCCGAAACGCCCATACAGGATCCAAGTAGCGTCATTCACTTGACCTCACTATGTCAAAGTGACGAACCGACTCGATTCACACTTCGTGTATCTGGAAGCCCTGATTCTGCTTCCCGTGGCCTCGCCGGCGTAGGTATAGCATTGAGTCCTAGGGCAGAACTAGCTCTCTTAGAGTGGATCCCAGTAAACAGTCGTTTGTGCGCTGTCCGACTGAACGGAACAGTAAGAATCCGGAAAGATAGGGACACTCGTCGTTGCCTCTTCGTCGTCTCTGCCTATTCTCCCACTGACTGCAGCTCAGATGATGTAAAAGATGAGTTTTACAGAAAGCTTTCCGACCTTCTCCGAAAAGCTAAGCGCTCGGATGTAGTAATAGTGGCCGGTGACTTTAATGCTCAAGTAGGTGAACTAAGCGATAAGGAAAGACACCTAGGTGGATCTATGGTGTCATGGCTCAAAGAACAGATAATGGCGACCGTCTGTTGCAGCTATGCTCAGATAACCGCCTGTTCCTTGCAAATACTAACTTTAAGCATAAGGAAAAACATCTTTTAACATGGCGACCCCCTAATTCGTCCCAACGTTGGACCCAAATAGATCACATCGCTATCAGCCACCGATGGAGGGGCTCGATAGAAGACTGTCGCTCATTCTGGAGCACATGCCTAGATTCAGATCATGCTCTAGTGCGAGCGCGTATTTGCTTGCGTCTTACTGGACGTAGGAAAGATCCTGCAAGGAAACCTCTTAGGGCCTACTTAATGATAGTCAAGCTAAGAATATATTTCAGGAACAACTAGGAAAACAGTTAGGCAGCCATGTATGTGATGCCCACCCCGAGGCAGCATGGAACGATATCCGAAAAGCTGTGGAAACAGCAGTGATATCTGCTAGTAAGGTAAACCGTAAAGTTAGGGAGCAACACTGGATCTCAGCAGCATCTATCGCACTGATAGATGCTCGAAAACTCATTCCACCTGGCTCTGAACATAATGAAGAGCGGAGTCAGCTTAAGCGCAAGCTGACAAGAAGTCTACGCAATGATCGCGAACAGTGGTGGGTAGCGAAAGCAAGAGAGATGGAAAAGGCAGCGGCAATAGGTAATAGCAGACAATTGTTTAGACTCGTTAAGGAAACCGGAATTAGGAACCCGACCGTTAGCGAAACAATCTCAGAGAAAGATGGACATATTATTCATTCTCAATCCAGGAGATTGGATCGATGGGCAGAACACTTTAGGGATCAGTTCAACTGGCCTTCAGCCACACTTCGGTTTCCCACGATCTCCAGTCAACCTGAATGGCAAGTTAATGTAAGTCCTCCGTCCCTTTACGAAGTTGAAAAAGCCATAGGAAATCTGAGACGAGGGAGAGCAGCAGGCCCTGACAGGTTTACTCCTGAGATTTTTAAGGATGGTGGTCCAGTATTAGCAATGAGATTAACTGAGGTCTTAGGTAGAATTTGGGAACTGGACGTAATCCCATCTGACTGGTCTCAATCACTGATTGTGCCAGTTTTTAAGAAAGGACAAAAGTCCTCTTGTGACAATCACAGAGGAATCAGTTTGACTAATATAGTGTCTAAAATATTAGCCTCAATAATACTTCGACGCCTAACTAAAGCTCGTGAAGAGCAGACTAGAGAAAACCAGGCTGGTTTTCGACCTGGACGTGGTTGTATCGATCAGATATTCACACTACGTCAGGTTCTAGAACAGAGACACACATTCAGACGCCCCACAATGGTAGTATTTCTCGACCTTAAGGCGGCATTCGACTCCGTTGATCGTGCGGTTCTATGGCAGTGTTTGTCACTGAAAGGAGTACCAAAGAAGTACATTAACCTTATAAAGGCTCTCTACTCGAACACAACTGGTAGAGTGAGAGCTTATGGCGAACTGTCATCAGAATTGATCACCTCAAGTGGTGTTCGTCAGGGCTGTCCACTCTCCCCATTCTTGTTCAACTTTGTCATTGACGTACTTTTAGAGATAACACTCTCCTCATCTAAATTTACAGGGGTTGAACTTCTACCAGGAGGTTCACTTGTTGACTTAGAATATGCAGATGACATAGTTTTATTTGGTGAAGACGCTGACAAAATGCAGAGTCTTCTGACCACTCTAAGCAACAATGCAAGCATGTTCGGGATGCGATTCTCTCCCTCGAAATGCAAAATGTTGCTTCAGGATTGGGTTACATCGACACCCGAACTAGTGATAGGGAGTGAAGTAGTTGAGTGTGTCGACCGCTTCACTTATCTTGGAAGTCTCATCAGCCCTTGTGGTTTGGTGTGTGACGAAATCTCAGCACGGATACAGAAGGCTCGACTAGCTTTTGCCAACTTGCGTCATTTATGGCGTAGGCGAGATATCCGTCTATCAACCAAAGGACGTGTTTACTGCGCAGCAGTTCGTTCCGTCCTACTTTATGGCAGTGAAACATGGTCGGTAAGAGTAGAGGATATTTGTAGGTTACTAGTATTTGATCATAGGTGTCTTCGAAACATTGCTCGTATATCATGGGACCATCGAGTAAGTGACGCAGTTGTTAGGAAACTGGTACTAGGTAAGGATGGCAAATCCATTGATGAAGTAGTGAAACTTCATCAGTTGAGATGGCTGGGACACGTGTTACGTATGCCCTACGACCGACTGCCTCGACGTGCTATGTTCAGTGGTATAGGAGTAGGTTGGAAGAAAGCTAGGGGCGGCCAAACCAAAACATGGCACAAATCCATGAAGTCACTGACAAGTGGACTGAGTCATGTTGGTAGGTGTAGACTACCTGGTTGGGGACCACGAGATGACAGCAACCGATGGTTAGAGACCCTGAATGACATGGCTCAAAATCGTTTGCAATGGCGCAGGTGCATCCACTCTCTGTGTTCTCCCAAACTCTAATCTTCTGAATTCTTCATGTCCCTTTTTTCCTCTTTCCAAATTTATTTCACTGGATTATACTCTTTAAATAACATCTCCAAACCCTAATCTTCCCGATTACTACTTATACTCTTATTACCTCTATCACTACGGGATTTGAATCGACAAGTGCATCTCTGTGCTAATGTGGTGTGGCAACTCGAACTGATGTACGTACGTACGATGTTCTACGTTGTTACTGACTGACTGACTGACATAAAAGTGCGACTGAACACCGAGTACTTAAATTTGTAATTGATTGAATAAGTAGCATTTTAGACTTATAAATAAAGTGGGGTTTAAGAAGAAAAGTGTCTTTATCACACACGTGCTGATAGTGTAGTAAATGCAAACTCAGGTAGAGAAGACCAACTTATTGTTTGGCACAATATTACAGAATGTCTTCATAAAATATGAAAACCATACAGTAAATACTTCATTTGCACATTTCCCATCAGTTTCATTTATAGCCTTATTTTCACTGAACATTTGTTGTGAAGATTTTAGTAATACGAAGCGTGCTAAATGCATAGTCATAAGTGAGAGCATTTCACAGTGCAACATAATAATAGCCATTAATACTGTTGGGGTAGAGTGTTTTTTAATAAACTGTGTAAGAAGAACAAAAGTACATTGTGAAAGTGGCATAATTGCGACACTATGTGCGTTTCCAAATAGACAGTACGGCGAAGAGCGATTGCAGTCCAGAAACATACAGTACTTGTGATAATCTATAATCTTTTTCGAATCTGAACATATCAATTTCCTCATTGAATACTTTTTTTGATAAGTCAGTGATTGGTGAATACCTACTCATTTAAAGTATAGTAATAATTGTTTCGTCGTGTTAAATGCAATATTTTTCTTAATTAACGGTTCAACCTGCTTCTATTCATTTCGATGTATACGTAGTATAACTTTCTTAATTATCTACAGGAAGGTGAATTACACTGTACAAAAGATAAATTAATCTACCAAACTACTTTAAGTAACAGAAATCAAGAAAATTGGATTATGATAGAACAAGAATATCGTGAATTACAGCGTCAGCATAGAATATTACAAAACAATTTATTGTTAAGTGAAGAAGAACGTCCTCGTGGCGGCGAAATGATGATTGCGGAAAATAATGCTGAATTTGAAGCAGCACGTGCAAATTATGAGAAAGAAATTGGCTTATTGAATGTAAGTTAAGTAAATAAGCTTTCATGTATGTGTCTGTGTATGTTTAACACATCTTGTTTATTTATTTGAACAAGTAAATATTGGTACAAATATTCACCGAATACATATACGCCACATAAGTCACTTGATGTGTGTGTGGGTTGGGATACTTCCCAAATTGAAACAGTTGGTTTTCCTTGGGGGCCACTCTCCGAGAATTCGACCCATATGATGTAGTCCCATGGTAGTCGGTGGCCAACAACATGTTTATGCGCTATTTATCCCCTCAGAATCCTGGAGCCCGTGTGTACCATTAGTTTGGAATCAGGGTTTTCCAACACCCATAGGTGGATTCTCCGTGCCTACAAACCCGGTTAAAACACCTTACATTCGCTTTTCATCCTCTCAATTTTGTAAACAACACCGGTGCCGCGAAAATGCAGTGAGTAGGACTTCTCTGGCAGTGGTTGTTTACGCCTGGCCATATGAAGACATTTCGAAAGGGAGAGTGTTGGGGACGTTAGATCCCCAGAACTCACTTGAGAAAGGACATAATTTTGTAATTTTATTTAGAAAATTTGAATTTCTTTGTTTTCACGCCAAAGGCGCTCTTGTCATCTTTATGTCGTATTTCCCTCTTGGGAAATATCTTAAATGCTATTTGTCCGTTGCGTCTTTTAGTATGCTATTTGGTAACTCTCCCCATGGACGGTTTTGCACTGTATATATAGGTTTTGAATTGTGTTTATTGTTATCGCTCGTTTCTGGCTGTTTGCAGAATATACTTCCCATTCCATGCTTGGATTTCTCCCTCTACTAGGCGGGGCTGAGACGCATCAATAGCTAGCTTACTGGTCTTTGGTCAACAAGTCTTTGTTCTCGTTTGCAGATTAAGTGAACTCGTGGTAGTTTCAACCCTAGCATAGAGCAGAATCTCCCCACCCTCGGTTGTAATTAGAGCATTTCGGGGCGAAATTCTGGTGCTTTGCCGACTTAGCTAGCCGGGTTCGACTGTGTTAGTTACTTCTCTGCTAACTAATAACTTGTGTCTTTAGTCTTTACTTAGCATATTTTACTTGATATGTATCTGGATCGTGTTCAACAATGGAATCTATGGTCTTAGTTTAAGACTCGTTAGCTGGATATCTCTGCACATAGTAATACCCATTACAATCTACTCACAATTCATATTTACCAATAGAGATTGATCGATTTAGTCTTGACATTTATACAATTAATTTGTACGTCGATTTGTTGAATGCTACTAATTCACAAATCAAATTACTACCAATTTTCACTATTGATTAACTGGTAAACAAATCACTTTTCAATTAACTGAACCTCAGTGTTTCAATGATCATGATGAATTTTTTAAACTATCTTACCGCTGAATCTAATGGTTTAATTTCAATTAATTTGTAATTGTTGAACCAGTCATATTATTATGAAACTCGACACTAAATGATAAAGCATCAGGATGTGATATTTATATCTATGTGTATAATACTATGACACCAATCATCATATGATGTAGTTATATAATAATAATAATATTTATTTATAAAAATGATTTAGTTAATTGTTATTTGTTTGATAAAATTAACCATTCTCATGATACTTAGGTGTTTTGTTCAATTATCAAATTGTGTATTAGTTACTTTAATTTATTTCAAATTGAACTAACCCATTTATTGATTATTTGGAGTAACCTGTTTCAGGGCATTGCTGTTACACTATACGAACTTGTTCATTTAAAAAAAAAAACGAACCCCGATCATTTTAACGTTTATTAAATAATAATAATAATAATATTACTGTTACATATATTTTAGAAAACACGACACACCTAATGGATGCGATAACTATGATATGTATTTATAGCATATACTTAGTTATATAGTTATATAATATACCCTTGTGGGCCAGGGTAATTTTACATTGGTTTTCAGGAGAACCAGACATCATCCCGACTTTCACGTGACAACCCAAATAGTACAGCTCAATCCCGCTTCGCAGGAGAACTAAACACCATATAGGCGAAGTTGTACTGCTGACTGTAGAGGGGTGTGACAGCAGTAATGTGTTTCCCTCGGACAACCAGCATCTGCAGCGATGCTGCCTTCTCACAAGGAAGAAAGGGGTTAGGAAACGTTGACCCTAAAAATGTTACATCTCACCTTACCTCAGGGATTTCCATCTCCGGCGGTAAGGCCCTTTGAAGAACGGAGCTAACACATTAAAAACCTCCCACGAAAAGACCGTGCGCGACTGGCTTCCAGCAGTTGTCCCTTGGGCTCTGCGGTCACGCTCTCAGGTCGTTAAGACCAACAATAATCCGACTTCCTTCTCAGGTTCCTCAAGAAATACCCTTGCACGGTGTGGGCAGCCGGGAGTTGATATCATCCCTCATACCCGTAACAACACACGAGGCCAAGTCGGTCACATCCAAATTCCTCCTACACCTCCAAATAAATCTTTTATCTCCATGACTAACCCTTCTCACGTCTCTTTATCACTTCGCACCTCTAGGGCAAACAATTCGAGTACGCGGAACGTTATTCCTGGTCTCCTGAAACTACGCTTTAAGATACACATAAGAGCTTTCAACGTCCGGACACTGTGCCAAATAGGACAACAGGCTTCCTTAGCTAGGACTTGAGAGTCTCGCGCCATCGATGTGTGCTGCGTCTCCGAAACGCCAATACAGGATCCGAGTAGCGTCATTCATTTGACCTCACTATGTCAAAGTGACGAACTGACTCGATTCACACTTCGTGTATCTGGAAGCCCAGATTCTGCTTCCCGTGGCCTCTCCGGCGTAGGCATAGCATTGAGTCCTAGGGCAGAACTAGCTCTCTTAGAGTGGATCCCAGTAGACAGTCGTTTGTGCGCTGTCCGACTAAACGGAACAGTAAGGATCCGAAAAGATAGGGACACTCGTCGTTGCCTTTTCGTCATTTCTGCCTACTCTCCCACTGACTGCAGCTCAGACGATGTAAAAGATGAGTTTTACAGAAAGCTCTCTGACCTTCTCCGAAAAGCTAGGCTCTCTTATGTAGTAATAGTGGCCGGTGACTTTAATCCTCAAGTAGGTGAACTAAGTGAAAGGGAAAGACACCTAGGTGGATCTTATAGCGTCGTGGCTTGAAGAAAAGATGATGGCGACCGTCTGTTGCAACTATGCTCAGATAATCGCCTGTTCCTTGCAAATACTAACTTTAAGCATAAGGAAAAACATCTTTTAACATGGCGACCCCCTAATTCGTCCCAACGTTGGACCCAAATAGATCACATCGCTATCAGCCACCGATGGAGGGGCTCGATAGAAGACTGTCGCTCATTTTGGAGCACATGCTTAGATTCTGATCATGCTCTAGTGCGAGTGCGTATTTGCCTGCGTCTTACTGGACGTAGGAAAATGCTGCAAGGAACCCTCTTAGGGCCCTACTTAATAATAGTCAAGCTAAGAATATATTTCAGGAACAACTAGGAAAACAGTTAGGCAGCAATGTATGTGATGCCCACCCCGAGGCAGCATCTAATCATATCCGATCAGTCAGATCGGATTACGTCCAGTTCCCAAATTCTACCTAAGACCTCAGTTAATCTCACTGCTAATACTGGACCACCATCCTTAAAAATCTCAGGAGTAAACCTGTCAGGTCTGCTACTTTCCCTCGCTTCAGATTTCCTATAGCTCTTTCAACTTCGTAGAGTCGGAGGACCTACATTAACTTGCCATTCAGGCTGACTAGAGATCGTGGGAAACCGAAGTGTGGCTGAAGGCCAGTTGAACTGATCCCTAAAGTGTTCTGCCCATCGATCCAATCTCCTGGATTGAGAATGAATAATATGTCCATCTTTCTCTGAGATTGTTTCGCTAACGGTCGGGTCCCTAATTCCGGTTTCCTTAACGAGTCTAAACAATTGTCTGCTATTACCTATTGCCGCTGCCTTTTCCATCTCTCTTGCTTTCGCTACCCACCACTGTTCGCGATCATTGCGTAGACTTCTTGTCAGCTTGGGCATAAACTGACTACGCTCCACCGACTGCCTCAACGTGCGATGTTTTATGGTGTAGGAGTAGGTTGGAAGAAATGAAGGGGCGACCAGACCAAAACATGGCACAAATCCATGAAGTCACTGACGAGTGAACTAAGCTATGTTGTAAACTACCTGTTTGGGATCCGCGAGACGATAGTAACCGATGGTTAGAGACGTTGAATGACATGGCTCAAAATCGTTCGCAATGGCGCAGGTGCATCCACTCTTTGTGTTCTCCCAAATTCTAATCTGAATTCTTCATATCCATTATTTTCTTTCGAAATTTATTTCACTGGATTATACTCCTTGAATAACATCTTCAAACCCTAATCTTTCTGATTACTGCTTATACTCTTACTACCTCTACCACTACGGAATTTGAGTTGACAACTGCATCTCTGTGCTAATGTGGTGTGACAACTCGAACTGATTTACGTACGTACGAAGTTCCACGTTGTTACCGACTGAGTGATAGGCTTTAACGCTACAATTTGAATAGTACAGCTCAATCATGTGGCGCAACCATATAGGTACCATGTAGGTAGACCATTCGCACAATCCGTATACACATTCACGTCACATATATAGATATTGCGATCAATGATCGCGTGAATCCGTTATCCACAGCATGAACTGACCAGTATATAGCATATACATTATTTGTATTTGTTGTCGTTATGGCAACCTATTGTGTAATAGTATAAAATGGTTATATTAATATATAACATTGTTCAATGTCAGTTGAGCCACGTGTTACATATGCCCGAACACCGATTACCACGACGTCCAATGCTAACCGGTGTTGGAGATGGTTGGAAGAAAGTTAGGGACGGCCAAACCAAAACGTGGCATCGGTCAACAAAGTCTGGTCTGACCTATGTTGGTAGATGCAGACTACTTGGTTGGGGTCCGCGTGACTGTCGTAACCAATGGTTGGAGACTCTTGGTGACATGGCTCAGAATTGATCACAATGGCGTCGGTGTATGCACTCTCTGTCTTCCCATAAACTAAGAGATTAAAATCGCTTCATATCTTTCTTTCTACAAACTAATTCTCTCTTCCTGTACTATATCCTTATACGCAATCTTTCTTTTATATATTTCCACCTCTGAATTAACTACTTTTATTAATCCGGTGTCCATCTTGTTGTGTTAATGAGGTATGGCAACTTGGACCGATGCATAAATGTGCCTGGTCCTACGTTGTAGCTGACTGACTGACTGACTGACTAAATGTCAGTCACAAATATGTACACATGTATATGTTCTTTACTACTTCTTTGTTCGTCTGGACTGTCACCACGAGTTGTCTCTTTTTCTGTTTGCTTTTAATTTTTGTAAGATTCTCCTCTGTATCCTTCAGTTAGAAAATGTCGAATTCAACATGTATATTTGTCTCAGTTGTTGTGTTTCTACTAAATTTCGAGGAAGAAAATGTTAAACATATGCCAACACACATCTATATGATGGGCTTTTAACTACAGACTTTTTATGATTGTTAGTGATAGTGTCCATCTGTTCGAATTGGATAAAGCTAAACACTGTTCAAATATGTAACTTAATAATTACAAACTGACTCATTTGTCCAGATACAAATTTGAGTATCATTTTACTTCTGAATTTTGGTTATTTGAGTTAAACATCTGTTCTATGTTAAACAGATACTAATTGATAATTTGACGTACATGTATAAATGTTTATCCACTTTTTCTTGTTGATATGACTGAGTTTATTTATTATTTGAACACAAAAATATTGATAGAGACATGTATGCGCTACACAAAGTAGTTATAATAAATTAGTATGTGGTTCGGGACACTGTCCGTCTGCCAAAATTAAAACAGCTGGTTTTCCTAATCGGCTACTCTCCGTGAATTCGACCCATAGGTCTTATCAACAAGGGAATGAACATAAAGTTAGGAGATGCGATCCCATGGTAGTCGGTAACCAACAACAGGTTTATGTGCCATTTGTCCCCTCAGGATCCTGGAGCTCATGTGCTTATTGGTTTGGAATCAGGGTTTTCCAACACCCCTAAGTGGATCCTCCGTACCTACAAACCTGGTTAAAACACCTTACATTCGCTTTTCATCCTCTTAATTTCGTAAACAACATCCCGATTCTCCGATAAGGTTCTTCCAACCACTCAACAGAATTAAATAAATATGTAAAGTAGGGAGTTCATATCTCACTAATCAATAACTCTATATGTTGACTTCTAATTCAACCACTTTCTATCATTTTATCATTACAACGTAATTTTTTTCCTGAACTTCTTTCTTTTCTTTTCTCAAGCAACAATTATTAGAGACAACATTTGAATGTCGTCGTCTAGAAGCAGAACGGGCTCGTGTAGCTGAACGTAATTCTGATTTACAACGTGAACTAGAAACGACTAGAATTTTGGTAGATTCATTAAAACAAAATTCGGAATGCAAACCAGTTGAATATTCGAATCATATTAGAAAAAGTGCACCGATTATCTCATCAAATCTACGTTTACCCTCTTCAATGCCCAGTGGTGATAATAATAATAATGGTATTTGTAATAGTAATGGCTTGTATTCAAAGGGATATAAAGTCAATCAAAGATGTCTTAGCGATTCACTTGAAGATTGGGAGGATAGCGATCATGATCACGTTGATCTTAATGTTTCACCATCACATCAAATTCGATCATCAGTATATCCACATGAATTGAAGAGTAAATTAAATCATCACTATAATCGTGATTATTCGTGCATTGTAAATAGTCGCTTAAACGATGAGTCCCGTAAGCCAGAATATAATTATCCTAATAATGAAGAGTCAAGATATTTAAGGAGTAAAAAACGTCATTCAAAATTACGTACAGATTCAAAACAGTTAGATCGACTTGCTTCTAAAACACAAGAATTGGAAGAGTTTGCTATTCGATTGCGTGAACAATTTAATGAGGTAAAACTTAGTATTTTATTTCTAGTTACCCTATTTTTTTCATATTCTAATGTTCTATCACAATAATTGTGATTAGCGATTAGAAACTTTATGGGACACGTCTCGTCGGTCACCATGGTTCAAATGCATTTACACTTGACTTTCTTCTAGATATTATGCTTCAAAATTACTTAATACTTTTTATTCCATCAATTCCATTCTTCCCGAATCTCTGCCTAAACCTAATCTTTTCTAAAATCACTGATACTACTATTTCTACTACTCTGATATTTGTCTTGATAACGTTCATCTTGTTGTGCTGATATGGTGCGACAGCTTAAACTGACCCATATATGTGCCACGTTCTAAACTCCTGACTGACTAAACGAATCTCTCATCTTGTTACCTCTTTTCAGTTAGTTTCATTGATGAGTAATATACTTGACATGTATGAAAGACTACTGATTAAAAGAAATCACTATGTTTCGTAATTTCTTCAACTTGGTCTATTCTCTTTTCACAAGTTTTTGTCTGCTGTACACATGCAATCAGTTTCTCAGTGTTTGTTTCGTTTATATGGTAGGAATTTCTTTCCCTTTGTTTTATGAACTTGTTTAGCACACTATATTTATGTTAAATTAAGTAGTATTTCTTAATTTGATGTTGTACAGATCTTATCAGAGGAAGAGGAGAATTCTGAAGTATGTGTAAGAAATGTGATTCCCCAACTCTTCTGTATACGTATATTATATACATGCATGTGATCAACGTATAATTAGCATAGGCTTTTCTACTCTTAGTTTTTATCATACTTCCTATTTTAACGAAAATATGAATATAACTTTCCACTCTAGAATTGCATGCTAATGTTGACATCTTTTTCATATTTAAGATGCATGACTTTTATATATTAGACATCATTGTTCTTAAAGCTTACTAGGTAAGGCGAACAAAGTATACGGTAAGTTATGTAATTCATGGATCTATTATTTTAAGTTCTATGTCTCTCATTATCAGAAAGGTGGTTTGTTTAAGTCATGTATTAATTCATATACATCAAAGCCCCGTCTCTCGTATTGTTAACTGCCATCATTCATTATTTTGTATTTAGTTAGTGCTTGATCATGTTTTTATAATGCTCACTTTCTTTCAAGTTGTGTATTTAACTCATCGCTTATTGGTTTGTGTAATTGTTTGCGAGTCACACTAAATGTTAATTACGAGTAGATACTTGGTTGTCCAAACCGATTTAAGTGTTGCAGGATGTAAACCTGCAACTTAGTGACTACAAGTCGACTACTTTAACAACTGGGCTATCGGTTTACTTTCATTTACTTCTAATTTAAATTCGATAAGTTTCAAAGTTTCTCACAGTTCTTCTGTATAATATCACATCAAATGAAAATGAAGTTCAGTAAATTTATTCACTAAAATCTCGTTTTTCCTACATTTCTTTTATCGGTCATCTTTCACTAGCATCAATCCTCCACACAAGTTAATTCTTCATCTGTAAACGTGTATCCCTATCTCACGGATGTTCATAATAATCAACATGCTCTGAAAAATACTCCTTTAGTGATACCAAAGAATCAATGTCAGTTAAATGGTTTTAATTACGAGCTTGTTGATGAAAATGGTGATGATGATGTTGAACAAAGAGAGCAAGATACCGATGCTGATTCTTCAGCTTACACAGATTTAAGTCAAGTTTCTCCGGTATCTCAACCTGTTGATTCAGGTTAGTTTTGATATTCAGATTGTTTTGTAGCCTGTTTTTTTGTGATATGTTTTATTTATTACACTCTATACGACTATGGCAACTTGGACCGATGCATATATGTGCCTGGTCCGACGTTGTAGCTGACTGACTGACTGATTCAAAACAATTAATTCTAGTATACTTTCGTGATAAATTTGGCTTGTGTTTGCTGAGATTTTTATTATAGATTTCTTGTTTAATAAAATATATGATAGACTCGTTGATTTCACACTGTATGGACACTCGGAAATGTATCACTGCAAAGTTCAGTAACGTTTTTATTTCTCTACAAGGTCCTAAAACGTAGTCTGTTCAGTACAGTTTTTCGTACTTCGATTTTAATCATGCTTTTCACTAGTGGTATAAATATTAATAATACTACGCTACCGTTGTAATTGAAATATGTAACTAAAGCCGGTTTCATATCTGTCATCTCATGAATTTTAGACATTGTACTTGAATCACTTAATCACCTCCTTTCTTAGGCTTATGTTTATTTTTACGTCATATATCTTATATAAGGATGATCCAATGATTTCATTAGTTACTGAACAATCATCGAACCCTATTTTTTACGTTCTTGGTTACTGTATGTTATAATATGATGCTTTTTGTTCAACACTTCATTTCTTTTTGGCATAAATGTTCCGAATGGAACTGTGTTTTGGAGAAGTTTTAAAGTTTCCATAATGTTGAGCAATACGTTTTGGTTTGTCATAGTGATAGACAAAATATTGACTGATATTAGGTGATGTACAACAATATGATGATAGAGCTGGTCACTACACTCTACTACTCTAGAAGTAAACATCCATACGAGGTGTAGTGAAAAGATAGCACAACTAATCAGTAGGTTAGGTTGATTTCCTAATAAAGTGTAATCTTTTTTATGGATAATGTTTAGCATGAAAGTAGACATGATTAATGGGTGTATAAAATATAACTGGATTGTATGGTGAATAACTGAAATGCAAACTTATTTCTCGGCTGTCATATTAATGCATTATAAGACAATAAGTTTCTGGTTCTGTTTTTCTTTCGACTTTTTGATTGTTAACTTTTAATCAGATTCAGTTTTTGTCAATGATAAATACTGTAAATCAAAATTTTCAACCTTGATCATCTAATCAATAGTATTGAGTATTCAGGTCATTAAGTCACACATCTAGGCTTTTCACATCATACAACACATTTATGTATATGTTATCATTGTTTACACTGCCAAATTTCTGACGATTAATAGTCATTATTACAATTATTTCAAGAGTTGACGTATTGAATATCTATAATCAACTTGGTGTATGTATATTTTTGTGTATATGTAACTATAACAACAACAACAGTAATGACAACAATTTACACTGTTGGTGTTGACATTATGCTTAAGGTGATTCTATCTCAATGCATGCATTCTTCACACTGTTTATTTTATGAATATGTATAGTATTTAACAAAATTCCATTTCTCATTATTCATTTGTTCAATGTAAAAAGTAGTTTGTTTACATTGACTACTAAACAAGATAACAGTTTATATAGACATATATATACTTGTGAAATAATTATTGGAAATGATGCACTCATTGTTTGTAACAATCTACATTCGAAAGAAACTAAGTATGCTTCATGTAATTATCATTCTGTATTTATTAGTTAATATTTGCATATGTTTTATAGTTTTGTTCTTCTCAGTTGGTATGTCATCTCATCGAAGTCATCATATCTTTTTTTCTATTTCATTATGTTTTGTATTGTAAAGGCTGTTTAGCTAATCTCTACGGTTTTTAATATTGAATTATTTATTTTAGTGTAATGCAGTAACCAAGTACTAATTTATTGTTTTTCGATTGTCATGACCACTTTTCATATCAAAATGGATGACATTACTATAATACTTGAAACAAACGATTATGATCAGATAGTCTAACCAAAGTGGTTCGGTTACTGGTTTCAAATACGAACTTCCTTCCTCTTACTTTAGGCTGAGCAGCTAATTATTATTTAACATTAACCTTCGTGTTCAGTATGGTTTGAATCCAAGTACAACAATCTGTATTCAGTGCCCTACAATTAATTAGATTACACTAAAAGATAAACCAAATCAAATTAGATGGTAAATGATGTTCAAACTGAATGTTTGCGATTCCAGTCTTTCACTATTAAGTTATTTAAAATTAAATTGTTTAAAATGGTCTTTGTAGATAAATAATATATAGCCTCTGCCAGGGAAGTCCTACTCACTGCCTTCTCGGGGCGGTGGTGTTGTATACGAAAATGAGAGGACGAAAACCGAATATCCGGCGCTTTAACCGGGTTGGTGGAGATGGAGAGTCCACCTAAGGGAGTTGGAAAACCCTGATCCCAAACCAATGGTGCTCATGGGCTCCAGTATCCTGCGGGAACAAATGGCGTATGAACCAATCGTTGGTCACCGGCTACTATCAGACTGCATCTCCTTACGATGCCCCACTGCCTTGTGGATCAGACCTTCAGGTCGAAGGCTCGGGGTGTGGCCTCCTAAGAAAACCACCTGCTTCGGTTTGAGCACCCGGGCAGTATCACAGCCCTCATACATATAAAATGAGATTTGTGTGACGCATATGTATTTGGTGCCTCCTTGTACCAATATCTATGTGTTAAAATAAATAAATAAATAATTAACGAAGAATATAAATCTCGAATCAAAGCTTCAAGTTATGTTTTTTTATTCTGCGCTCATTTTTTTTACATTATATTTATTGTCGTTAGCATATTAAATTTGAACGTTAATGGATTGGTATCTTAATATCTAAAGCACTCGGTTTTTAACCTACAAGTTTCAAGTTTGAAACCTGCTTTGGTTCGAACATCTAGATAGTTTGCATCATTAAGTCCCATACCAATAATGTGATTTAAAGTTGAATGTATTAGCATGTACTTGATGTATCAGTTAAGTCAGTGGTCTTGAGTGCTTTTAGAGGTATGAGGGCGGTCATCACTTCCCGGTTGGCCACACTGTGGAACGGTTCTTCTGGAGGTACCTGAAAAGGAAATTGGATTAAAGGTGGTCATAGTGACCTGAGAGTGTGACAGTAGTGCCAAAGGGATAACTGTTTGAGGTTGGTGACACACGACGTTTTGTGGGTAATTTTCGTGTTAGCTCCCTACTTGTGGAGACCTTACCTCTAGATACGGATTTTAGTGTATATATTCGAATAGGCTTGTCTTGGACCATGAATGTATTTTTTTGTACTGAATTAACATTCATTGTTTGGTGATTTCTAATATTTTAACCTGTATGTTACTACTGATTGCAATATGATATTTCTTTGCTTTAATGGGTTCGTTTTTTTCTACAGGATGCCAGAATACTAAGCTAACAACAAATAATTTGCAAACTAACACATCACATAATGGTCAATCGATGCTTCAACATCACTCGCAATCTGTCGGGTTTATGCCATCAGTCTCGAAGAATTTAAGGAGTAGTTCACCCTTATCTTCTGGTATTTATTATTATTATATCTTGTTTATATTTTGCTTTAAAATTTCTGTACATTTTGTTCATTTCTTTTCATCAATTTTTAGTTTCGTTTTACAGTGATTACATACTATCAATTGTATCATTCTGTTATTCAGTTCTATTTGAGTTCACTTATTTGTTACTCTGACTTTTAAGATAAATAATCTTACTATGATACTAGGTTGATGAAATTTACTGGGTTAGGGAATCAGCTTTGTAATATTGTTGTTTTGATAACCTTAACCTCCCGGTGAGAAGTTGATATTTTTTTTCTGAGATTATCTCGTTGAATTTCTGGGTTCAACGCTTGATGATGAGTGTACTAATATCTTCAGGCCGATAGCTTTTTACGATTTCAGATGTATCCAGTCGTTAATAATCCGATCCAAGGCGTAAATAGGTACGTCAACTGAGAAAAGCTAAGGGTATCCAAAAAAAAGCCACAAATAAGTAAATGAAACATTCGGTAAGAAATATCAACTATATGTAAGTGACATTCTTGTCTAGTCGAGCGTATTTTGCGGATCTAACTGTATGCTGTTCTAGTATAGGAGATAGTAATAATCACCCTTATTAGGTTTCCAGCCACAATTTTCATTGTGAGAGCTGTTAATATAATCTGGATACTCAAAATTAAGTAAAGATCCATTTTAGCATGTAACTCCGATGGTTGAGAACCACTGTCTTCATCATTAATTTACTACATGCTATATTTATATAGTCGTACATTTTTCCTGTTAGTGTTCAAAACGATCATTAAAGCTTCGCAATTATAAGCCAACTTAGCTGTTAGAAAATATAGAACACCAACGTAATGCTCTATATAGTATCCTAATCTTAATAACAGTGTCGATTTATAGCTCTATCAAAAATCTATGTTTATACACTGTATTCCTTATGAAATAGTCGAATTGAATTAGTCGTATATAATAATAATAATACTACTACTAATAATAAAGCCCTCTTAATTAAGTAATATGATCGATTCACATACAACACACATAGAACAAACAATTCAATCTATTGTAATGCACAAATTTATTATTATCATCATTATTCCATTTTTAAGAAAATATGTCATCTGTTTTAACTGTCATTTCTTTATCCATGTATCATTGGATGATGATTATCAAGACGTTTTCATAGAAAAAAAATGATCCTCTTTGTTGCTATAGGTGTATATCTATCTATCTATTGATGAATTGAATGAAATGAATTACAATTTTGTATTATAGCTTGATAGATATCATTTTTATTTCATAATCATTTAATCTTATATTGTTTTTTACGGGAAGGGGGGGTACGTTATGGTTCACATATACTGAGATTTTAAATAAATAATCGTTAAGAGTGAAGAATATGTAGATGGTGGTAGCTTCTGTGTATCTGATGAGTTCATCATTTTACATAACTGCTAAACATTAAGTATCATAAACTGATTGTAATAACCATAATTTATTCATTTGTTTGAAATAAAAGATCTGCTATGGTTCCCTCAAATTCTGCTTAGGATAGAATTATTGTTAAGTAAAATAACAATGCTGGTAACATGTTGATATAATCTAATACAGGGATTATATTTAACATTCATTAACTTGACTAAATGAATTACGTGAAATACATTTTAATGAGAATTATGATAGTCGTGTGAAATTTAACTATTATTTCTTTTAGATTTAGTTTGTAATATTCTCAATTCTATTATTATTTTAGCATTTCGATTCAATGGTTCCGGTTCTAGACTTTCTGATCCAATACCATCTTCTTGGAGTTTCGGTAACATGATTATATCTTTAGTCTCTTGACGCAACATGTATATCCTATGGCTTAATTAATGCATGATTGAATTTAATCTACATGTTTCATCGACATATATTTACTAAACCTTATTTAGCAATGTTGTCTGTCTCTGTAACAGGAACTTGGAACTTTTTATAAACCCTCACATTAACTGATATCCATATTCTCCTTCATTTTTACCAGCAATCCATTTTTCTTTCATTCAAACTGTGTATCTCTTTATTGTCTTTGTTGTTTTGGTTTTTATTACCATATTCATTTAATGCTTTAGTTATAAAGCATGATCAAGTATGTTTCATTCTAATTTACATGTTATTAATAATTGTGTGTATTTTGTTTTACTTTAATTAGATCCTAATCGATTAAAAGAATTACATCTACGTAATCGATTACAACCTTCACATTTACGATCAAGTTATCCAGTTGAAACTCAGGTTAGTTGGGCATTTTTTCTCTCTCGTTAGTTCCTCACTGTTGAAATTTTACAATGTTTATATTGATAAAACAAAAAAAGGTGTGGATGATGAAGTTGGATTTTGTTGTAAATCATTGCAATACATAACTTACACTTATTACTCCTCGTGAAGGAGCATAGGCCGCTCACCAGCATTCTCCATCCAACCCTGTCCCAACCAATCCTTTCCAGTTCCTATTCATCCTTTCCATATCTGCTTTTATTTCCCGACGTAATGTTTTCTTTGGACTTCCTCTTTTCCGCTTCCCTTCAGGATTCCAAGTTAGGGCTTGTCCCGTAATGCAGTTTGGTGATTTGCGTAATGTATGTCCTATCCATTTCCATCGTCTTTTCCTAATTTCTTCTTCATCTGGAAGTTGGTTTGTTCTCTCCCAGAGAAGGCTGTTGGTGATAGTATCCGGCCAATCGATGTTGAGTATCTTGCGTAGACAACCATTTACACATACTTGTACCTTGTTCATGGTAGTTGAATGTACAAGTGTTGCAATACATTGATTACAATAATATCAATTTCATTAAAATACTAAGCATTGGGAATCTCTCCGATGTTATGCAATACGGCTTTTAGATACTCTACCTTAAGTTTCACACATTTCCTATGACAGAATAACCTAAACTAAAGTTAGGGATTATTGCCTATTAAGAAGTTAAAGCTGAATTCTTCAACAAATGATGTACTTTTTTAATTCTGATGTTTCAGCCTAATGTCTTCGCAACTGAAACCATTTAAACATCATTATTGTTTAACATTTTTAATGCTATCGATACTACTATTGTTCCCGCTCCCTTTCTATGTATCTTATAAGTTTCACTTGACAGTGCTTATTTAATAAAGCGTGATTTAATCTAGAGTGAAGTCGACTTCTCTTAGCTCGAAGTGATTCGCTTCAGCCTCAATGCGAATGAACCATCCAAGTTTTTCCTTTTGCTGACTATCACAGTGGGTTTCATTTCACTTTTATCTGTCAGTAATACATCCTGTTCCCATGCCATTTTTAATTGTAAACACTTCTAATTACTGGGCAATTCATACAAACTAAGTTTTTCAATTTTATAATGTATTGAATTGATATGTTCTATATCTAATCAACCTGCCAATAAATGTACCTATACATACATGCATAAAACGGATTGCTCGTACTGACATGATACTGTCTAACAGACAAGGTCTCACACCCTATCAATCAAGCTGCAATAAACCCACTAGCATGAATAACTCGTAACGCGTGCACTATGCTTTGATGTTAGGTGGTTAATGGTAGTCTCTGGGGTACTCCTGGACTTACATTTTGTGCCAGTTGGTCCTCATCATCAAAGCTTACCTGATATCTTAATGGTACTGATATTCCCTGTGTGATATGAACTCCGGTCACCCAGCCTCATAATCCGAAACGTTACCACTGAGCTAACCGAGATTTAACTTACTTATGGGACTTAGATCACTGTGTACTAACCATATATTTAAAATGATTTAGAACTGTTGGCACTGTTCTCTAGTTGAATAACTTAGATATGTGGTGATCAGCTTAAAACACAACACTAACTAAGCCAAACCACATTATCGTGCTACTTACCTTCGTGATCTATAATACTCGATAAACACTAAAGATTTTACAACCAACTCTTTTGTGTATATTGTTTCATGCCCATAGTTATAGAATTCCGATTTCCCCCCCTCATTACAGGTGATCAATTCAAATGATATAGTTGGCACTTTGAGCCAAATGACTACCGACAACGTGAACCAATCACCTAATCGAATTAGAGCGAGTGGTCGAAAAATGCATCGTAATAATTCTCACAATAAAGAACCTCCTGTAAGCAATGTTGGCAGCAATCCCACTTCTTCTAGAACTGTTCCCTCTACATTATCAAATGATTATCAAAAGAATTCGCATATCAAATCTAGGCACGATAATAATCTTGAACTAGAATCAACGCCTTCACCATTAGCTGCTGGTTATCAACCCCTCCCCAAAGATATACAATCGTTTAGTGAAGCACTTATCTCTGCATCTGTGGATAGTAAAGCTCTGGATTATGTGTTAACTACTCATCCTAATCTTATCAAGTCTGCCAATACTAATAACGATAACAATAATAATAATAATCATAACAGTAATGGCTGTAAATCATCACACTCCTTGTCTTCCAGTATCCAGAATGTAAATATCCCAACTTCGGATAGAAAACCTGTGAGTATCTACTTTCACTATATGTCTTTGCATGAGTTTTTGGTACCTGAACATCCCCTACTTCCAGTGTCTTAAACAATTATATTACAAAGGTCACTAGATTGGGGGTTATAAAATCTTATCTTTGAGTTGTTATTTGACTTTATTTATTTATTTGAACACATAAATATTGGTACAAGGGGGCATCATATATATATATATATAACATATATATATATATATGACTTAAAATATACTCATTTTGAGTCCTACAACTGAGATATATCTTACACATGTTCAGCCACCGCTTATCCATATATCCAGTGATGTCTACTATAAGAGTACGTTAAAAGAAGACTAAGGTGATGAAGCGGAAACGTAGCACCAGTCCATAAAGTCAGTGAATGTTCGTGTGATCTATGTAGGGTGATTCGAATTTCCTGAGTGGAGACCCTTAAATGATATTGTAGTAAATGAACATTCAGGTGAGGAAAACCGATTTATTGTTTGGTGCACAACCACACAGTGGTTTAGCGAATTGTGAAAATCATACATCATTTGCACATCTTTTTTAATTGTCTTAAAAGTTTCCTTGTTCCTTCATTCCTTTTATTTTGATTGATTTCAATTTCCTTCTCTCTCTTCATTTCAATCTTCTCAACTTTCTGTTCTCAGAAATTCCACTTACGACTGGTCGTCCTACACACTACTCATATCTGCAAACATGAGTAGCATACATCTCAATATAACTTGTAATCGGCTATCATCATTTTTGATCTATACTTATTACAATTTTCATGATGACTTGGGACGGCTGTGATAATAAAGTAACAGTTGTCGCTCATCAGTGAGTTTTCAGTCAGTCAGTCAGCTACAACGTAGGACCAGGCACATATATGCATCGGCCCAAGTCGCCACACTTCATTAGCACAACAAGATGAACACTAAATTCATAAAGTAGTTACTTCAATGGGAGTAATATATAAAAGAAAGATTGCGTATATGGATATAATACAGGAAGAAAGAATTAGTTGATAGAAAGAAAGGTACAAAGCAGTTTTAATCTCACGCTTTAGGGGAAGACAGAGAGTGTACACACCTGCGTCATTGTGATTGATTCTGAGCCATGTCACCCAGTGAGTTTTCAGAAAGGTATTTTGATAAGCTTGATCTATGGTGCTATGTTAACATAATTTTGACTGTTTGTTAGTCATACAAATTATAAAGCTTGAATATATATAATGCTCTCACCCATTGTAGTCGTGAAACTGTGGAAACGTTTTCATGTGAAACATTTGCAATTGTGCTTTGGTTTATTTGCTGTCCAGTTATGTATAATTGTAACATTTTTAGTGTTTCTAATTAAGGTTCAAAATCTAATTCTTACTCACGGGTATCGACCTAGAGTGTTTATTTATTTACATATTTGAACATATAATTATTAGTACAATGGGGCAACAGATATATATATATGCGCCACACTGACCTACAGTGAAGCATCTCGAAAATCAATGATAATGAAATAATTACATTTTTCCCAAATCTTGGATTTCAATATTATTTCATACTTTTCATTTGTTTGTTTTAAATACCTTTTCTTCTACATCATTTTTTTTTAAAAATTTTGTCAATTCACTCTCACTATGGTGATGTTGACTCTTGATCTGAATATTACTAACTAGACAGCTTCACCGTATGCGATTGGTGTTCCAAAGACATTTATCTGTTTAGTGTCTGATTCATAAAACCATCTAATCTTAATTCTTGATTTTGTTTAAGATGGTTCTGTGATTGGGGTTGATTCCTGATGATGAAAGCAACCTGTGGATTAATCAACTTACAAAATTCATTATATTTTTAATAATTTAGACTTTTTATTTTGTATATTCTTTTGTGTTTTGTCTTGCTTTAAAAAAAAAAAATCAAAATAAGGGATTCTGTAATACTCTCCCTGATACATTTGCGAAACATAAGAAAAATCGTACAAGATATAACGTGAATGAACTAAAAATCGACAGTGGTACTGGCGGTGGTTTATCCTCTGATAATGAAAATATGAATCCTCCTTTATTAAATATTGCCTGCCGCAGATTCACTGACGCAGATCTGTTCGTTAAACCATTGGATCCTGTTCGTGTTCATCGTCATAGAAGTAAAAAAGTCGATACATATTCTACTCCACGTACTAATGGTATTTCACCAACCAGTTCTGTACAAAGTGTTGATGATCTTAGTGGTGCGTCAAGTATTCGAAGTAGTAAGGTTAGTATTGTTACAATTTTATTTTAATTCATACTTTAAGATAATGTATTTATTTATGCTTCAACAGAGTTTGAGAATTTGGTTTCATCATTACACTTACTATAGTTTGAGAAATGGATTAGTATTTTTAGCTCTTATCTAACAGATGCCATTCATTGTACCAAAAGACATCAGTTTCACGCTCAATGTTGCCTTTTAGCTGGGAAAAAAGACAAGTAATTAATTGTTGCTTTGATCAGTCGCTGCTTCCACTATACACAACTATCGTGTGCACGATTGTGCAATAAGTTGTATGAGGGTTAGCCATGCATCTTAACTCAGCAATCCTCATTAAACAATAACCTGAGTCCTCATTTGACCTACACCGACGTAGCTACATATCTTGGCATGGATTCAGAAGGCTAAATTGGATTTTGCCAATTTGCGTCACTTGTGATGTAGGCAAGATAACCGTCTGCGAACCAGTGAACAAGTTTACTGCGCAGCAATCCTCCACGTCCTAATTTTTGGGTGTGAAACATAACCATTGAGAATAGAGGATGCTCGTAAGTTACTACTGTTCGGTCATAGGTATCTTTGAACTATTGCTTGTGTATTTTGGACCAATGAGTAAGCAGTGTCTGTGTTAGGAATAGGGTGCCTAGTAATGATGGGCAACCAACTGATGAGGTAGTAAATCTTCATCGACTGAGGTGGTCGGGATATGTGTTATGTGTACTCAACCGCTGCCTACCTTGACGGGCGATGTTTTCTAGTGTAGAAATAGGCTGAAAGAAACTAGGGTTTGCCAAACGAAGAAACAGCATCAGTCCATGAAATCATCAACAATTGAACTAAGCCATATTTAATAGATACAGACTACCGGACTGGGGGTCTATATGATTCTCGTAACCAATGGTCAGATAGGTTGAATGGCACGGCCTGAAATTGTTTGCAATTGCACAGGTGAATCTGTTCTCTGTTCTTCGAATTCTGAGCTGAATCCCTCATAACATATTCGTGTTTTTATCCGAATAATTTGTACTTTTTTAAAATTTATCTTCGATGCCGTCTTTTCTATTACCGCTGATACTGCTGCTGCCTCCGAAATTTAACCTGAAAATTTCATCTCTATGCTATTGAGGTATAGCAACTTGAAATGATGTACATACATACTAGGTTCTACGTTATAACTAACTGATTCAATCATTATGAACTATACTAGCTGTCTAGAGGGTTTTTGGTATAAACATGTTGTATGCCATTACTATATGTGTCTGACTTGCTCGTAAAGTGAATTATAAATGGGTTATGAACATAATGAAGAGAATTCCACTGTTTTTGTTATACAATTCTTTGTTTGACTCATTTTCATGAATGGTATTAGAGTTCTGATACTTCCTGAATACATAAACAATTAGGTAGCTTCATAAGAAATCATCTTTCATTACTTCAACCTAAATGTTTAATTTTCAAGTTAGTGAAGCGATGTCACTAGATGCTGTAGCCTCGTAGTTATCAATGTTCGTACTCTATCTTTTTCCACCTGATTTTATGTCGTGTCTGTACTACTGTTTTCGAATCAAACGATTTTGGTTCTCCTGTGCATTTATTTATTTAAATACATAAACACTGATACAAGGAAATACCAAATAGATATGCGCCACATAAATCGTTCGATTTGTATGAGGTCTGGAATACTGAAACAGGTGGGTTCTTAGGAGGTCACATCGTGAGCCTTCAATCTATAAGACAGTGGAGCAACGTCAGGAGATGCAGTCCCGTGGTAGCCAGTGACTAACAATAGGTTCATACACCATTTGTTCCCTCAGGATACTGGATCCCATGTGCACCATTGGTTTGAATCTTCTGTATCTTGTATATTCATTATTAGCGTGATTTATTTACCAAACACCTGTATTCGTCATTTCATTTATAGTTTAACATACTCTCTCTATATTAAGGTATAAGTTATAATTGTATATTTCAAGATAGGAAACAAAGTCTCATCCCCCCATCTTCAACGTTTCATTAATCTAAATGTTTTCTCAATTAGATTGTATGTAATTTTGTTTTTGTTGTTGTTGTTGGCTAAATTACTACACTATTGTGTATATAAACATTCCAAACTATGTAACCTACTTCTTTTTTTGTTGTTTAAAGAATTTTTCGTATAAAATTGTATCTTTTATCATATTTACCGTGATTGTTTTCTTTCCAAAAAAGAAAAAGAAAACAAGAAAGAGAAAGAAATATACAATTAGTAATTGTTACTAAATAAGTATACATAATCTGCACTTACTCCTTTCTCTATATCATCTATATATGTGTATGTATGATATTGGAATAGTAAAAAATGTGTATATCTTACTACTACTACTACTACTACTTACTATTCGATGATTGACAAGTTAACTGATTGATACAAACTAAAGAATTGAAATTTCTTTTTTTACAATTTGACATTTAAAAAGGACAATAAAGAGAATATTCTCCTTTTTCTTTTTCATAATTATTTCACTTATCTTTGATGATAATCATTTTTTTTTTCTTATAGTCCGGTCTTGAATCTATCACTTTCACTTCAAATCTATATGTTTATACATTTATTCCTATAGAGATTTCATTCACTTAGTCTAACTTAGTTATTCGTGTAAAACAACACCTCACGAGGATCATGCTCATGATCATCTTAGTTACTGTTAAACTAGTTGTAATTCTGGAGTACATATCTTAAGCTTCCTTATGCTTGTTACCAGTCTAATTTAATTTTTCCACCCAGATACAAAACTACAAATGACGTAATCACTGAAATCAATTTTCGATTTCATGTGTTCTATACTGTTTGTCCATTTGAAATCTGTCTTTTTTATTCTTTAGTAGAAAAATAAAATTTTATAATATATTAACCATTTATGCTTATTTATGAAATGATTAGTGTTTATTTTCATGTAACAAAATACCCCGGAAATCATGGAAATACTTGATAATCAATATTTTTAATACGTTGTTTGTGTATAATCAAATCTCAAGATATAGATTTCTCAAAAGGTTCATTGAATATATCTCGTTTGAGGGGATTCAGTCAGTCAGTCAGCTACAACGTAGGACTAGGCACATATATACATCGGTTCAAGTTGTCATACCTCATTACCACAACAAGATGAACACCAAATTCATAGAAATAGTTAATTCAATGGTAGTAATATATAGAAGAAAGATTGTGTATTAGGATATAGTACATGAAGAAACAATTACAAAGAAAGATATAAAGTAATTTTAATCTCACGATTTAAGGGTAGACATACAGTGTATACACCTACTCCAATGTGATCGATTCTGAACCATGTCACTCAGAGTCTCCAACCTTTCGTTACGATAGTCACACAGACCCTAGTCAAGTTGTCTGCATCTACTAACATGGTTAACACTAGAAGTTAGTGACTTCAATAAATGATGCCATGATTTGATTTGGCCACCCCTAACTTTCTTCCAACCATCTCCAACACTAGTCAGCATTGTGCATCTTGGTAAATGGAGATCTTTTACCTGTCTTGATTCACTGCCCATTTCAACGTTATTTTTCTTTATTTATAATCGGAAACAGATGTTAAAATGTTTCAATATATATAGTGCATTTAGATTTGTGGCATCAGTCTATGAAGTTAATAAATGCAAACTATAAAAGCCTACTGATTCAGGTCACTGATTCTATCGATAATAACTTTGTGTTGACATATTTCTATAAGTTAATGGAAAAGAAAAGAAAACATTTCACTTCACTTCATTAATTTAAATGATGGGAAACAAAATAAAACATCCTTAGGGGGTCAGCTATCCATTTAATGTTAGCCAAACAAACCTATAATATAATGTATTTGTTATGAGGTTAAATAATCTATGACACCATTTTGACCTTTGAAGAAACTATTCATGAATTCACTTTAATTGTAGAAGAATCTGAAAATACTGGAAACAACTTTAATGTTGTACTTTACTCGTATTATTTTGTGTCAAAAGTCCACATTATTTACTCTTAAGGTATAAGAATTAACTATGGTAACTATATGACAATTATTTATTTCAGAAGGGGTTTTTATGGATGTTATAGTAATTCTAATGGTTGAGATTATGAGTCACTGGAAGCTAGACAACCATGAAAAACTTGGAACCCTAGACTGATAGGTCCTTAGTTCGAATCTCGGTAGGGAGGATCGTGGGTGTGCACTGCTAAGGAGTTCCACAATAGGACGAAACGTCTGTCCAGTACTTTCAGGTTATCTATGGTGGTCTATCTTCAATTAACTCATGATCTCAACCATTTAAATTACTATAATATCCACAAAACCCCTTCTCATATGAATCAGGATATGCTCACTAGTGATTGGCTTCAAGAGGTATATCCTGGAGTTCCAGTGAAAAGTAGTGACCAGTGGAGTTCAACCGGGTTTGTTATGAGATAGTAGCTCACTGAAAACAATGGTGGATCTATCGCTCTATTTCGTGGAGTAGTTGAAGTTATACATTAACACCGTTGGGTGACAGCTCAGTGGTCTAGTGGTTAAGCGCTCGCGCGCGAGACTGATAGGTCCTGGGTTTGAATCTCACAGGGGGTGAGGTCGTGGGTGTGCACTGCTGAGGAGTCCCACAGTAGGACGAAATGGCCTTCCAGGACTTATCAGTTTTCCATGGTTGTCTAGCTTCAATTGACTCATGATCTCGACCATTGAAATTATTTCTTCGATTATTTTCTTGAGAACTTTTCAAAAAAAATTTTGTTCCTTAATAGTGTTTATGTATTTTACTTCACTTTGTAATAGCTCAAAAAATTTTTTTTCTTTTTTAAGTCTCAGTGATCATTTAACTTAACATATTTCTTCTACTTTTTTTTTCATCACCTTTACACAGAGTTCAATCGCTTTCGAAATAAAAAATGATCAAAAAGTGAATGTACGACGTTTACCAGCTCCAACTTCACAACTATCCTCTCAATATCATAATAACAATAGTGATAATATCAAATCACAGAAATTAGGACAATCAACTAAGAAATTAAATCATTTCAATTGTAAATCTGCATTTTCTTCATCTAAATTAACTACATCAACTCCATTAATCCCTCAATAATTTCTTACTGTTAACCATGTACATTATATTTAGTGTAAGTGGATGTCATCTTTTATCATATTTAAAATTTTATTGACTGTTTCATGTTGTATAAGAATCCTTTAATGAGAAATCATAGGTTCTGCAATATATGAATCTTTAGACTTGTATAGTTCTTAACTTGACTATTTCACTGTAGTCACCATTTACGCCTGAACCCCCTTTTTGGGAGGTTTTTGCTGAAATACTATAATTTATGTTAGAAACAATATCAGTGAGTATCGAATCATGGTATGACATTAACCTGTTTAAGTTTTTTCTCTCTTTTGTGTAGTGAAATATTTCGTCATCTTTTATATCCTTCTAATCAATCTCCTTTTGTACTATGGTGTGTACTGCTGATATCGATAGATATAAGTAGTATGTATCATTGTGGTGAACACGAACATCAGTGGGGGACCATCGAATGTATTTCATACAAAATTACAGGACTTGTTAATAAAATCTAACAATCAAACAGTAAATACGTAATTTGCAAAATTCCCATCAATTGACTCATAATGAACCAGATTTCATTGTTCTTGAATTTTCATACAAATTGCATTCTGTTTTGATTCTTTACTGTTCGAACCTCTTGTCTCTCTGCTGCCGGACATTCTGTTCCTGACCAACACCATATACTACTTATGTGGATATAAGTAGCACACACCACATCATTCGAACGTGAAATACCTGGCAGCAGAATTTCAAGATCAAATAAAAGAAAACGAGAACAGAGAGTGATTAGTGTGGGAACGAAAGAACAGCAAAGTCTGAGATTTGTTTACTTATTTTAACACATAGATATTGGTACAAAGAGGCACCAAATACATATGCGCCACACAAATCTCATTCGATATGTGTGAGGGCTGTGATACTGCCCGGCTGCCCAGACCGAAGCAGGTGGTTTTCTTAGGGGGCCACACCCGGAGCCTTCCACCTGAATGTGTGATCAACAAGGCAGTGGAGCATCGTAAGGAGATTCAGTCCCATGGTAGCCGATGACCAACGATTGGTTCATACGCCATTTGTTCCCGCAGGATAATACTGGAGCCCATGAGCACCATTGGTTTGGGATCCGGTTAAAGCGCCGGACATTCGCTTTTCGTCCTCTCATTTTCGTAAACAACGCCGGTGGCGCGAGAAGGTAGTGAGTAGGACTTCTCTGGCAGAGTCTGTATACAAGTGGCCATGTGGGAGCATTTGGAGAAGGAGAGCGGACTTTCCCCACTCTCGGCCATACCAGGGCATTCGGAGGCAAAGTCTGAGATGGTTGATTGATATTTAGCAAATGAAGTATTTACTGTATAGTTCTCAAATTTTACTAAGTGATTATGTAATATTGTGCCCAAATAATAATAATGATAATAATTAGTATCAAGTATTTTATAATTGCTTCGTATATTAATAATAACAGTAATACCTGATTACATAGTGAACAAATCATATATTCTTATTATTTTTATATTTAGATAATTTTGTGATCTGTATTGTTCACATTGAACCGCGAAAAATAAGCTGGCCAAGTATCGTCATGAACTTCATCTAAGAAGCTAGTAATTTTCTCTTTCAATTTCCTCATTGGAATGCATTCCAGTGAATAGTCTTACTTTCTTTTTTTTTACATAACTCACACACACACATACATACATACATACATACAATCACACTGTTTTATCGTTCCTATGTTTAATAAACCTTGATGCTACTTACCAGAATCCACAATCTTCCCGATTTACTTTTTTTTCCAGGTTTTTTGTACATTCGATTTCGTGTGTGTGTGTCTGTGTGTCTGTATTTACCTTTTCTTTATGTCTTTATTCAATTGGTGTCGAATACTGTTGAATTTCTCATTTTGCCTTCTTTATTACCATTATCATTCATCACCACTCTCATTAACATCTCTTTGTGTAATGCTTTTATTAATTTATTTTTTTATAGAATTTTTAAGGTATACACAAAAAAGTGGGTGGGTGGGTGGTAGAAGACTAAGAAAAAGAAACTTATTAGCTGATCCCGGTTCTTCATATTTTTGTTTCCCTTTTTTTTTCTAAAAAAATAAAAATACTATTTTATTCTACCATTGAAAGTTGTATATTTTGTTGAATAATGAAAAAAAAACAACCAAAAAATTATTTCAAGAAAAATATAGTTTTTACAATAAAATAATGTGATTTTCTCTAATTCAACTGTCCAACAACAGTCAGTCAGTCAGTAACAACGTAGAACGTTGTATGCATGTATATACATCATTTCGAGTTGCCACACCACATTAACACACAGGGATGCAGTTGTCGATTCAAATCCCGTAGTGATAGAGGTAATAAGAGTATAAGCAGTAATCGGGAAGATTAGGGTTTGAAGATGTTATTTAAAAAGTATAATCCAGTGAAATAAATTTGGAAAGAGGAAAACGGGGACATGAAGAATTCAGAAGATTAGAATTTAGGAGAACACAAAGAGTGGATGCACCTGCCTCTTTTGTAAACGATTTTGGGTCATGTCATCTAGCAACGTTTTTCAATAATAAAACATTGATGATGGAATAAAGCGTTGAAGAGTCGAATGATTAGTAATAGCTATAGCTATAACATAGTAATTATCTTTTGAAATGAATTGAAAGATGATAAGAAATGTGAAGTATGATTTCGATATGAATAAGGGTATAATTACGTGATTACAATTAATAAACATTGACTGAAATTATTGTATAATAAATAATCTGATTAATTTGATAGAGGGTTGAATTACAATTCTTCAAAATTTATTAGTTTCTATGTTAGTCAAATAATAAAATATGGAAGGTGTTAGTGCTGATTATCACGACGTGCAATGCTAACCAGGGTTGGAAGAAAGTTAGGGATGGCCAAATCAAACTATGGCATCAGTGCTTGAAGTCACTAACTTCTAGTCTGAGCCATGTTGGTAGATGCAGATTACTTGGCTGCGGTCTGCGTTACTATCGTAACGAATGTTTGGAGACTCTGTCTGACATGGCTCACAATCGATGACAGTGGAGTAGGTGTATACACTGTATGTCTTCCCTTAAATCGTGAGATTAAAATTACTTTATATCTTTCTTTGTAGTTGTTTCTTCATGTACTATATCCTTGTACACAATCTTTCTATATATTACTACTGTTGTGTGTGCTACTTACATCGACATAAGTAGTATATGATGTTAGTCGTGAACAGAAGGTCTGGGAGCAGAGAAACAAGGGGATCGAACAGTAAAGAATGGAAACAGGTTGCAATTTGTATGAAATCGCAAGAACAATGAAGTCTTGTTCATTATGAGACAACTGATGAACATTTTGCAAATTAAGCATTTACTATTTGATTGTTAGATTTTATTAAGATTCGATTGTCCCCACTGGTGTTCTTGTTCACTTCATTACCATTGCATTAACTACTGCTATGAATTTAGTGTTCATCTTGCTGTGTTGATGATGTATTGCAACTTGGACCGATGTATATATGTGCGTTGTCCTTCGTTGTAGCTGACTGACTGGACGGTATTAGAAATATGACGTATCACAAGCTAATGAGAACTAATTAGATTTGTTGTACAGCAGATTTAAGAAGATCAACAGATGAATACATTTGCTTCATTGCAACTGATCTTACTGAAATGAATAATTAGTTGACGAACGTGATTCTGGCTTTGCAGCGCTTATGGAAGATTGATCATGCAAGTAATATGTTCATTATGGACTGGTGATGGACTTACATGTAATAAGAAACTTATATGTGTATGTATGAATTACCTTTTTAATATAGAATTAATTATTGACTTTCATCTGTTTCAGGTAACATAATCGTTTGTGCATGTTAACATGGTTAATACAACTTAAAGGTTATTATGTAGGATTGTCAAGCTATTTCATTCTTTATTAAAGAAAGTTGTTGCTTTCTAAAACAATCAACTCTAGGTTATATCATTTTAACAATAGATATTGGTACGGAACGAAGAATATTAGAGCGAACAGCTATGTTTACTGTATACAGGTAATATGATTCGCATCGATGCAAAGAAACCTGAGATACATTCACCTTCTATGTTCACCTTGGTTTTCAATATAAAGTTATCGAATTCTGAATGTAATTTCCGTAATACAGTTAAACACTACTTTTCTATTCTTTCAATCTAGTTTTTACACCGATAACATTTTTTTTATTCTTAGCTTTCTTTATATTCTTATTAATAACAGTTTTTATTATCATAATAACTATGATACAATAATTTCTATTTTTTGATTGAGATCATGAACCGATTGACGTTAGACCGCCGTTGGAAACTTGGAGGCACAGGACGACCGTTTCGTCCTGTTGTGGGACTCCTCAGCAGTGCGCATCCACAATCCCGCTCGAGGGATTCGAACTCATTGACCAGTGGAGCTAATCCGTGCCGGGTAGAAACAGGTATCTACCTCAGCACAATGGAAGATGGTCGCTCAATTTCGTGGATTGGTTGATGTTAGACACTAACACCATTGGATGCCGGCTCAGTGGTTCAGTAGGTTAAACGCTCGCGCGCTAGACTGAAGGCCCTGGGTTCGAGAGCCGCGAGAGGAGTCGTGGATGTTCACTGCTGAGGAGTCCCGCAATAGGATGACACGGCCGTCCAGTGCTTCTAGGTTTCCAACGGTGGTCTAACGTCAATCGATTCATGATCTCAATCAAAAACTAAATATTCTCCACAACCCCTATACTAATAATTTCTATTTTGTATTATCTCATTACCTTAAAGTATATAACTTTCTTACTCTTTACTTCATGACCCATTGAGTTTACCAATGATACATATTGTTAGTACTTAAGAGTTGACTGACATAAAAATCACTATCTTCACTTTTTAACACTAATTTAAATAAATAAGGACTTTCGTCTAAATTTTAACGAATAGTTTCACAGTATTTGGGCGACGAGTTAATGTGAGACATTAAAGAGGATGAATGTTGTATTTGTAACATCTCAACGAAGGAATTCGAAGTAAATTCAACGTTTCTCCTGGCAATCTGGTTCAAGCATTTTCAAGGAAAATATAATCAAACAACAAAATTATCAAATATAAATAAATCGAATTTAAATAGAACGTTTATATACAGAGCATACGGAGTAAACATCAACTCTGGGATGAAAATGTATTATTTGCCCCCAAATGCACTGTTACGACCGTGGGTAGGGAGAGTCAGTTCTTCCTCTCGAAATGCCCTCACAAGGTCATGCGTTTGCAGCCACTGCCAAAGAAGTCCTACTCACTGCATTCTAGCGGCATAGGTGTTGACTACGAAATCGAGAGGACAAAAAGCGAATGTCAGGCGCTCTAACCGGGTTGGTGGACAGGGAGAGTCCATCTAGAGGAGTTGGAAAACCTGATTCCAAACAAAATGTTATACATCGGCTCCGGGATCTTAAGGAAACAAATGGTGTATGAACCTGTTGTTGGTGACCGACTACCATGGTATTGTACCTCCTTACGTTGCTCCGCTACCTAGTGGATCAGCCCTTTAGGTTAAAGACTCAGGGAGTGGTCCCCTTAAAAACGTGGGCTGTATCCTAGCCCTCACATAAATCAAATGATTCATGTGGCGCATATCTATTTAATGCTTTCTTTACCAATGTTTATGTTTTTAAATAATAATAGTAATAAATATAATACAGTAATTTCAATCGTTAAGATCATGAGTCAGTTGAAGCTAGACCACCATGGAAATCCTGGAAGCACTGGACGGCCGTTTCGTCCTAGTATGGGACTCCTCAGCAGTGCGCATCCACGACCTCGCCCCCTGCGAGATTCGAACACAGAACCTACAGCAAACTGAAGAAACTATCGCAAACAGTCGTTCGGTTTAATATTCTTTGTTCTTGAATATTCGATTATGATTTTTGGGTAGATGATTTATTTATTAATCATTACTGTTGCTATGATTACCTTTATTTAATATTATATTTTTTGGTACAATATAGAATTCTCAGCACAAATTATTTCAATAAGTTTCCGTTTCTTACTTCTTGGTCGATCTTGACGATAAATATTGATTAGTCGTCAGTTAGATGTTAACAGGTCAGGAATCGACATCTGAATGAAGTTCATTCTTTTCGATGCATATTGCCAACAACCACTATATCTCTGATTAGGCTCTTTTGTAACTTGTTGAGCGAAAGGTCATAGACACGTCTGAATAGGTTATGCGTTTAATAGACATAATGGTATGTTGAAACAAACAAACATCAGATAACTTGTTGAAATAACTAGATGACAGGAATAGGTAGCCTAGATGTTCAAGTAGGCCGCCCAATGTAGATGTGCCCACTTCCTGTTTTCTAAAATAAATATTTTGAATGATATACCAAGTTATCAACATTTCTGAATAACTTATTGGATTGTATCTATTTCATGCTTTTAAACTGTTAACTTTCCTATGGTCGAAGAATGCTCATGGTGATGTCTGTTAGATATAATGAGACCTGCCGTAATTGATCTTCTCTGAAAATTTAGTATTTTTTTGAAGTACGCTTCAGTGTCTGCAAGCTTAGCTTGATGGCTTTATAAAGTACTTAATGATTGGACATTGGATATCACTTGATTATAAATCTTATATTAACTCATGATGTTCGGCTTCGTATACATCTCTTTGAGCCACATTGTAAGTGTGAGTGCTAATGATACCACTCAGTTTCCCAAACAGCGATAGATGGTTTAGGACTAGGAATACCACCAGTACAGACGTAGGTCCATGGCCTCGAATCATCTAACGTAGTTATCAAGTAGTAGGACTGAAGTTGGAAGTAGAAACCATGAAGTTGTAATTTATCAGTTTAGATGATTGACGCTTGCCTCTAGACCTGTAGATCTTTAGTTAACCCACGAATATTTCGCAAGCGTACAATTCTTAGGAGTCTCATAGTTATCCAGACCTTACTGATTTCCAAATGTTGTTTAAGATGAGTTTGTGACATAAAGTATGATGATTTATGTATATTCTGAAATATGAACATAAATTAGTTTGATTAGTCTATATTGTTTTAGATTTTATTATGTCAACTGGATAGGACAGAAATTTTCTTTGATCAGTATTAAAGTACTTACAATGTTCAGTTTATAAAAGTCATAAATGAATTATAAATGGATTGAACTTTAGTATTCAAGTTATCCTAAT